TCAACGATACAATATGAAGCCATTTGCATTCGATTGTCAATTGTCTTGTCATTCCTTGATAACTGATGCAAAAAAATTACTTAAATATTTACAAAATTAAAATCTTTTTTGGTGCTAAAAAAACAGAAGTGCTTTAATGTTATTTATGTAGCTAGAATTGGTAGAGGAACATATAAAAACACAAATTAAGATATGAATATGAGATATTCAACTAAATAACCTAAGATAGAAATGATATCGGCAATACATACGTTGTTCATACAGGTTGACATTCGGTATTGCCCGACTGAACTTGTCTTAATCTATTTCTCTAACTAATTTTTTCTTGTGACACTGAAATCGCTCTAATTGATTTTTATTGACCATATATATCTACTAATTAATTCCATTTTTAATGAAAATAATTGGAATTCAGATTCAAGTTTTGTGCCGCCGTTTGTGTACGCCATGTTAGGAAGTTCGAACACTCTCGCGGTGGGGACAGTCGCAGCATGCTCTTTGCTTATCTCTGAGACATTCGGTGAGGATCTGTTGAAAAAGGATCCTAACCTCTACCTTCATTTGATCTTCACCTCCACTTTCATCACCGGTGTTTTCCAATTTGCTTTGGGCTTCTTCAGGTTTTTATTTACAAATTTTTAATCTATTCAATCTCTCTCTGGTTATTTTTTTACTCACAATGTCACGGTGGAAAATCTAACATCTCTCTATCTTTATTACGTTAGATATTTATCTTTTAGTTAAGTGTATACTACCTTAATTTTTTGGGGTCAACATTGTATATTAATTAATGCATGCATGTATATAGGTTGGGGATATTGGTTGATTTCTTGTCACACTCGACCATAACGGGCTTCATGGGAGGAACAGCTATAATCATTCTTCTCCAACAGCTTAAAGGCGTCTTTGGTATAGTCCACTTTACGCATAAAACTGACGTCGTTTCTGTTCTCCACGCACTCTTCACCCACCGTGATGAGGTCTCACTTTCAACTCTCTCTTTCTAAAGTAAAAACTATCCAATAAACGGTATGGTGGCTAATTGTATTATCCTGGGAGGGTGTTATTTGGTGCAGTGGAAGTGGCAAAGTGCATTGGCTGGGCTCTGCTTTCTTATTTTCCTCCAATCTACTCGATACATCGTATACTTTCTTATTCTTCTTTTTATTTTATTAATTTAAATGCTTTATCTGTTTATTTGAGACAAAAATCATTGGACCCTCCCAAATCTTGCACTATTCTATTTTTTTTTTCTTTTGTATTGTAATCATTCCTCACCTTTATACATATCCATTGTGACCATTGACTTTCAATTTTTTGAAAATATAAATTATTGACTAGAAAAATTTCTGTTTACCATAAAAGTTTATTCTCCCTTGTTTTATCCATATGCTAATACTTATAAACTATCTATTTGGATATTAAAAATCGACTGCTTCTCAAGTGCATGGCAATAATATAATATGTTTGTAACTATGGCAGAAGAAGATAAAACCGAAGCTATTTTGGGTATCAGCAATGGGTCCAATGGTGGTCGTCCTTGTGGGTTGCCTAGTTGCTTATTTGGTGAAAGGAACAGAACACGGGATCCAAACAGTGAGCAAAATTATTTTCACACTAGCAATGCATTCATAGATACGATACTTTGACTTCACGGAGACTTCATCAATTTAGGGCTTATATCTTTAACTCACTAGTATGTTTCTGCATACAGGTTGGGCCTTTAAAGAAAGGACTAAACCCTCCTTCAATTCAATATTTGACCTTTGATGCCAAGTATCTACCGTTGGTTTTTAAGGCCGGAATCGTCACTGGGCTCATCGCTATGGCTGTAAATAATTCTTTTTCACCATATTTTTCAGCATAGCTAATAGTTAACCTATTTGTATGATTTTATAAGAAGATGAATGGTTAATTTCAGGAAGGGATAGCGATCGGAAGAAGCTTTGCTGTAATGAAGAACGAACAAACAGACGGGAACAAAGAGATGATAGCATTTGGTCTTATGAACATAATCGGTTCCTTTACTTCTTGCTATTTGACAACTGGTAATTATATATATATATATATATATTTTTAATTATACCATACGTCGTAGGTATGTAGATTGCTTGTTTGCATTAATTTGCTTTTATGCGTAGCAATTTTTTTTTTAAATGAGCTCACAACTTTTACAATATTTAAGTAAAACATTATTATTCAAAAACTCAAACTCTAAAACAACCATCCGTTTTTCTGGTTACAATTTACTAGGTGTTGTACCCGCATATGCGGACATAATTTTCTTACGAATATTTATTATTTTTGTTTTATTAATTCTAAGATAAGAGTATTAGTTATTTTCTATAGTTTTAAAAAACCTAAATTAAACATTAAAATATTTTTATATGATTTTTCATCAAAAACTATATGCTTATTATAGTGTTAAAAAACATCCACATAATAAATTATTTTTGAAAATATATTTATATTTTTTCGTAATATTTAATTTTAAATTGTTTTATAACTTACATTTTTATTTTTCACAATAAAAAGATTATTTTCAGATAATTATATAATATTCTATAAGATATCTTATGTTTTAAATATGCATGAATGTTGATAATTATCCTATTAATTTATAATAAATTAACTAATATAATAACATATAAATTTATATCACTAACATAAAATTTTGTTTTAACTAATTTACATATAAATATATAAATTTCATTAAAGGTATCATTAACTTCAACCGTTCCAATTTTTAATACCTAATATTTAATTATATAATTAAAATTATCTTTATATAAATGTTTTTGTTTGATTAATATTTAATTAAAATCGATTTTATATTTTAATTTTTAAAGTTTATAATATAATGATATTATTTTTAAAAGCCAAAATCAATTTTATATAAAATTAAGATCTATAAGCATTATCATGTTGTTACAATATTATATTCAGATAATAATAACATATATAAGAATTATCTTATTTTGTTTTTTATAAACTTATTATATTAGTTATTCTTTATTATCTAAGATAATAACATACTGTATTTATCTAATTTTATTTTTTAAATTTCGTTTTTAATTATAAAATTAGTTATATATAAAAATTTCATTAAGGGTAAAATAGATATTAACCGCTCTAACTTTTAACGTGAGAGCTCCGTTGCGAAAAATTACTTCGCAAATAATAGTATAGATAAGAATTTTTTTTTTTTAAACTGAAAAATGTTTTAGTTGTCAAAATGGAGAGTTATGATCATTTGAATTAGATTCCACATATACTTTATACACTAAATCTTGGCTGGAACTTTCAGGACCATTTTCAAAGACAGCAGTGAACTACAACGCGGGAACAAAGACACCAATGTCGAATGTAGTAATGGGCATTTGCATGATGCTTGTGCTTCTCTTCCTTGCCCCTCTATTCAGTTACACACCACTAGTTGGTCTCTCAGCCATCATTATGTCAGCCATGTTAGGCCTCATCGACTACGAGGAGATGTACCATCTCTTCAAGGTTGACAAGTTTGATTTCCTCGTGTGCATGTCAGCGTTTTTCGGTGTTTCTTTCCTTAGCATGGACTACGGCCTCATCATTTCCGTTGGCCTCTCCGTCGTGAGAGCGTTGTTGTACGTTGCACGGCCCTCGACTTGTAAATTGGGAAGAATACAAAACTCGGTTATGTTTCGAGACATAGAACAGTACCCTGGTGCTGAGGAGATGGCTGGCTATGTCATTCTTCAGTTGGGTTCTCCTATCTTTTTTGCCAATAGTACATACATACGTGAAAGGATTTTAAGGTGGATTCGTGATGAACATGAAGTCGTTGAGTTTCTTTTCCTTGATCTCTCTGGTGATTCTCATTAATTAATCACATTACCAAACATATATATATATATCTTTTTGTCACTAAATATATTTTCTTTTCATTTTTATATGTGTTAATGAATCTTGTTTGTCTCTTAGGTGTTTCAAGCATTGACATGACCGGGATGGAAACACTACTTGAAGTACGGAGGATCCTTGGACCAAAAGGCATCAAGGTTTATATATATATACCTTCTAATTTTAATTTAATATTTTACAATTTAAAAAACAAAAGATTTATCATATTTTTTATTGCAGATGGTGATAATAAATCCAAGGTTCGAAGTCTTAGAAAAGATGATGTTATCCCATTTTGTAGAGAAGATAGGAAAGGAGTATGTGTTCTTATCCATCGACGAGGCGGTTCAATCATGCCAATTTAATCTTTCCACCGCCAAACCGGAACCGTGTTCTTAGTTAGTAGAATTTTCTAGTAAAACTCATATTTTGGGTTAGTGTAACTTTAATGTAGTGTGGTCAAAACAATAACTAGTTTCAATTAGTCCACTATATATGATTCCTCTGTTTAATTTGTAAGATTCAGAACTCGAGAGGGAAGTATACCTTTTTCATAATACAAGTGACTTAAGTCTTGGTGTACCATTAAACGATCATGTTCGTTGCAGGGCCGCTCCAACTTAAAAAAAAAAAATTGTAATGCCCTACTCTAAATAATAATTCTTTATAATACTTTTTACAGTGTCCCATATACTTATAAAATTGTAGTATAAAATCGGGATGTTCTAAGCGGTCGGTTCCTTTGTCTACGCTCCGGATCGTCCCTGGTTCATTGAGTCGGACGTTATATTTTTTAGAAGTTGCTTTTAGTAAATAGGAGAATTTTCCTGAAGAAACAAAGAATATCAGGTTTTTGAAACATTATAAATACTCGTATATATAAAAAGTTGTAATTTATAAATTCACAACAATGTCCATCGAGTTTTATTTCTTTCTTTTTTTGGGTTTTCGAATTTGATTTGTTTTTGTTCACAACAATGTCCAAATCCTAAACCATGGCATGCATTTTCTTATATATGTATGCATATTCTCACATACTTTAACTCCACTACTCTCTCGCTCGTTCTCTCTCACTCTTTTTTTTTTTTTGCCCTATTCTACTATACCTGCTTTAACCATCATCAGTGTCTCTCATTCGGGCTTCTCATGTTTTGTAACTTTGCAAGATATGAAAGTTTCATTGGTTGAACTCTAATTGGAGACTTCATAATCTCCTTCTCCTGCTCAGCTTCGTGTGATATCTCTATATCACTCGTCAAACTAAGCTCCGTATCTGATGAAACTCTCCACCCTATCAAGTCTGCTAGTTTCGTTGATTTTCGCTTTACTGCTGAAACCACCTTTTCGGTTTTTTCACACTCTGATTCTGCCTCGCTTTCTCTTCTCTCTGTCTCTTCCAGCAGTTGTATGTGAGCTACCACATCAGCTTCAAGAACATTCTCTATTCTTGACATTATCTTCGAAGCCAGGCTTTCTAATACTCTTGAATAGCTCTCCAAAATAGCATGTCCAACGTCCTGTAAAACCCATATATATAAGACCATCTCCATTATGAGTTTAAGAGGGGTTCAAGGGAGGGGTTCACACGGTTTACGAGACAAACAGTGGTGAACCCGCTCCACTTGAGCTTGCTGCGGTGATACTGGTTCATCACGGGTTCACCACGTGGCGAACCATGATTCGTCGAATTTTTTTTTTTTTTTGAAAAAGTAAAAAGAAAAAGAAAAAATGCCACCTGGTGAACCCCAATGGAGATGCTCTAACAAAGTCTTATTCAGTTTCAGTAAAATTTTGCATGCTGATGTTTTACTTTTTCTTTATTTTTTTTAATTACCTTGTTGTTTTTAATCTTTGAGATTTCAAGTGAAGATTGTAGAATCTCAGGGAATTTTTGTTTGAGCATAGCTAAAATGGTCTCAACTCGGACCTCGAAAAGCTCCCTCTTCTCCAAGCTAACAAGGGATCCCCACTGCTCTTTATGGTTCATCTTCCTCTTCCAGATCACCATGGAAGATTCAATCCTGTTCTTTAGATCAAGAACTTTGTGTTTCGTTGACAAATCACAGGAAGAAAGGAAGTAGCCAGGATCAAAGTATTCATCTGTTACACTCTTGTAAAGGAAATCCCCCAGGCTTGTCTTCCCCTTCTACAAGACACATCAAGTATATATTAGCATATGGTTTAGCTTATTACAAGAATTATGAATGAAGAAGCAAAATAACCTTTGGAAGAGAGTCAATGTAGTTGTCAGGAATGCGCATTTCAGACAATACTTGAGCATTGATTGCTGTGGCGGCTTTAAGGACTTGTGACACAGATTCTTTTTGACTACGCAAAAATTTACGTGATTCCTCAGACAAGCCATCAGATGGGAACTTAACAACTGGTAAACATGGGTTCTGATCATCTTTCTTCTGGTCTCCATTGTTCTCTGTATTCTCAACATCTCTTGGGACATACCAAAACTCTTTATGATCCTTGAACTTGTCCAAAGTCTCCTGCCAAATGACTAGTTGTATTAATAGGATGCCACTACATGCAAAGTAACTAAATAAGAGCTATTAAAGAGACGCAACTTGTTTATATATAAAGCGTTATTTCTCAAAAGTTGTGATACAAAAAAATAATAATAATTGATTACAACTCAGCTAAATTTGTATAAGACCATTTCCAATGTATTTTTTTATTTTTATCTCTAAAATAGAAAAAAAAGTTATAATAAAATGAGATGTGCTCTTCTATATTTCTCTAAAATATCAATCCCTAGATATAGAATAAAAAATAGAGAAATGATATTTCTTCTTATATTAATAAAGGAAAAAATAACAATCTCTATTATAGATTCAGAAATAGAGGTGGATTGGCAATTTTACTTCTAAATGTATTATAAAAGTAGAAAGGATAATGGATCGGAGATACTCTAATAAAATTTATTTTTATCCGTGTATTAAATAAAAACCAAGTGGTATTCAGTGCAATGCATGCAGTTAAAAACTCACGAGAAGAACCGAGTCAAGCTTGCGCAAGGCTGGAATGTTTATCAGCAGATCATCTCTTTTTTTAGTTACCATGATCTGCAATAGATAAAAGGGTTAATAAGATAATTAGTCATGAGGGGTTATTGCTTAATTATGTGCATAATTAACGACTAACAATCTGCATTCACCTCAGTGAAATTCCCGGTTTTGGCCACTTGTTTAGAAGGAACGAACTGGACAATGTGATCAACCACAGATAATAACCATTTCATTTCTTTTCTCCAAATCTTTTTTCTCTTCGGATCCATAGGCTGCAATTTCATCTGCTCTCCAAACACTGAATCTGCGAATACCAAAGGCACGCACAGTTTGTGAATTAATTACTGGTATAACTATAAGGTCAAATATATATTGGACACTATATATAGTTTTAGCTATGGTATAACTATAAGGTCAAATATTAACCAGCGAGGTTGGTGATGGCATTTGACAAAGCTAACGCAGAGGTCACGCCTTCCCCACCACCTGACATGTCCTCTCCAAGCAGTAGTTTTGCGAATATTTCCCTCATCACTTCCATGTCTGAAACAGTGAAACATATATGAACACATATATGGTGCAAAGAATCAAAAGGCATGTTTATTCAGGGTTCTTAGGGTGTGGGGATCTTAAGTTATGATTTGACATTTTTTATTTTTTTTTTAAACATTTTTTGGCTAATAGCCGGCTCTTATATCTCTTATTTAAGAACAGTTCTTAGTTTTTCTTAGTTAAAAGCTAAGAAACGTATCTTAACCGAAACTAAAATTCCATCTTGAAAACCTCCAATAAACATGGTCTTAACACGAAATAATTGAACCTAATATTGACTATAGATGTATCACAATATCTAAGTGCAATTCATTATGCTATACACAATACATCTGATCAAATACTAATAGAAAATTTGACATATATATAAAATTATGCAGTAAAAAGTTATTTAGCAAATGAGATATATGAATATGTGATGAATACTTGTTGTCTTAGCTTGTTTGCCTCTACGAGATGATGATGCAGGATACATCTCACGTATGGTAAGTTCGTGCTCAGGGATTTCCTTGGAGTCACTGCGAGAAGAGAAGGATGCATGTCCTTTGTTCCGACCATCGAACATCTTTCTAAAACTGAAAGATCTCGGCCAGCTTAGTTTACGTCCTAATGTCCTCACCATTCCCAATTACTCCTCTCAGTTTGTCTCTTCCCACACACACTTTTGTTTAAATTTTTTTTCTCAAATTGTGTATACCCAAAAGAAAAGTAGCAAATGTAATTCACAGAATGAAGAAGAAGAAAGCAAAAGAGACATACAGATCAAGAATTAGTCCGCCAGCTCTCCCTTTCCTCTCTTCGTTCTTTCACCACCGAATGAAACAAAATAAAAGAAAAATCAACGAAGCAGAAAATATTTTATGTTCTCCATGTATTTTCTTGCTTTTCATTTATTTTAAATGTTTTTGTTTTTTAGTTGGTGCAAATGAATGAAATAGAGAAATGTATGATATAGTTTTTCTAGGCTGAAGAGACGACGTGCGGGCATGTTTTATCTTTAAACTATCCATATTAATTTACCTCACGCTGCTCAGCTTTAGTGGCTTAAGTATTTGTAGAGAGGCATATATAAAACATGCATGTTGCTTAACACGCCTTATGTAAGCGCTGTTCAGACAACTAAACAACTAGGCAATTATAATAAAGACTTGGAACATTATGGAACAGCCATAGAAAATCATAATGGGATTTAGAAACAAAGAGCAACTCCTAAAATCAATTTTACTCAACCTATTAAATATTTTTATTCCAGAAAGTACAAGTCTAAGCGGACTGACTACAACACTTAGATATATGGCATGAAGTTGCTGACCAAATTCGCATATAGATCCACATAAACGATGGTCAACTTATATCGTATTAAAAGTTTTAGGGATGAACGTAGTTTAGGTAAAAGTATATTTAAATTCGCTTTCAATTTTTAGTTTTATTTTGTTAATAAAATGCATTTCTGTGAATTTGACTCTGAATGGTAGCACATACCACCCCACATCACTATATAGGCCACATACCATGTTCAAATTTGACTTGCTAATTTCAAATTTATCTTCAGGTTTCATCTAAAACGAGTATAATTAATTTACTCAAATGATAACAAGAGGGATGAACATAGTAGTTGGAGGCATGTAAGATGCCGACCCTTTACCAAGTCTAAACATTTATCTGTATATCCTAATAATTAAAAGGATTTTTTTATTACATGGGATATGGTTTAATCGTGTATTTTATCATTTTGAAAAGTGGCGTTTAATTATGATCATTTTTCACCTAAGAAAAAAAAAACATTTGATAATTTCTACTTTCCTTAATAAACATGCCAGAACTAAACATGCAAATAAATATATGGTAAGTTACAAAAAAATATATATATGATTTAATCTCGAAGAAGGTAAAGAGAATTGTTCAAAAAGAAACAAGATGGGACAACGAGCTATTTCCCCATGAAAACTCCATCGTAATCATCGATGTTTTCACTCTTCACTAATTTCTCCACATAAACATGAAGAAGATTGGTTAATATTAAATGGTCCAAAAGCAGGTACTATTAGGTCAGATTCTTATAACCGATACTATATAAACGAGTGTTTCCGTTCGAAAGAAGGGACTAAAATTATTAAATCCATACCGAAAACATAAAACGAGTTTTATTTTTCTTTGACATCCGTAAACCGAGTTTTATGAGTTTTAATTAGACTGAAGCATATCATGTTGTAATGACAAGTACTGTACTAACTAATGGAAATTATTAATGCAAAAGGAAAGACAAATTATGATAATTTGTGACCGGTGAGATGAACTTGTTGAGGAAGGAGTGTGTAATCGATCTCTAGCTCCTCGAGGATTCGCTTGAGGTTGATGACCATCTCAGTTCTCCTGAGATTCTTCTCCACGAAGTTTTGGAAGTTCATGGTGTATTGGAATAGCACATTCAGATTTAGCTTGTTCACATTCTCAATCGCCTTCACCATCAACAATGGTTCTGGATACCAATTGTTTGGGTTTTGCACCAAGAATCTAACCAAAAACACATACCAATTTCTCGTCAGTATAGTGTTGAGTGAGTGATTTAAAGATGATTATTGTTTTGATACTTACTCTCCTATCTTCTCCTTGAGAGTGGCGATTTTCGCAGCCGGGGTTGAGAAGGCAATGGAGAACTCTACTGCATCTCCCATATCTGGACTTCTATAGAAGTTGCTTATTGGTTTTGATATCAAAGTCGCATTTGGATAGAAAATTTTCTCGTTATCAATCTTTAGGAACACGGTCGTTAAGAGATGTATTTCTTCAACCAGCAACTTCAAACCACAAAAATATATACATGGGTTAATTTTTTAAATATGTAATTTAATGAGGAAATAATGTTTTAGAGTTGCTTACTACAACGCCATCAATAACACAACGATCACCGACGTCATAAGGATGCATCACGAAGACAAACACAAAGGATTCAAAGATGTTCTTGCAAGTGCTTCCGATCATGAAAGCAAGACCCACAAATTGCGTGGAGAAGACTAACAGAAACTTGGTTGTTGCTATATCTAGAAGTACCAACCAAACAATGAAGGTGATGACGGACAAGACTCCAGTTAAAAGTTTGTCCACCTGTTTTACCGCTGTTCTTGTGTCGTTGAGTGAATGTCCTAATGCTTTCCGACTTGTGTAAACATTAATCTGTGAAAAAAATGGTAACACATGCTTACACCACTAAAGGCTTGTAATAAACCTTCTCCATAAACACATGGAGACATAAGAACATGATTAATCCATAATTTTTAATGTGAAATTCTTAACGAAAATTAAGAAACAGTTTCTTAACTTCGTTAAGAACTTCGTTAAGAACTTCAACCTAAGAACTTTAGGTTAACCATGGTCTAACTAAAGTTCTTATTTTTACTAGGTTAAAAATAATATTAGCATATTAAAAAAATAATTTGCGTTAACAACTTTTAAAAGTTATTTTTTTTTGTCACTATACATGGCAGTTTATCCTTATTTCAAACAGTATTAATTAAAATGTATGTAAATCAACAATAGACAAATTATGATATTTTATTAATTTATCAAAATATTAGTTTCTCAGTAAACTAGTTTAAAACCGGAATTTCTTTATTAATTTGTATATAAAACTATACCAACCGATCTGTTCCAAAAAAAAAAAAAAAAAACAAAAAAAAAACAAAAAACAAACTATACCAACCGATCACGAAGGCATCAAGGTTGATATACGGTCCTTTTCAACGATTTAATTCTCAAACTAAATTCTAAAACGTGTTAGTTTTATCTAATGAATATATTTTATTGTAACCTCCCAAAACCTAGAGAAAATGTTATAGTGGCCAACATGGGGGAAAACTTGCATATAGAATGTTTGAAGATTACCACCCATTCTGTAAAAGCATTGCGTGTGATTTTTCCTGTCTCGCCACCATCTATTAACGGGAGTACAAGGTCCACCTCTTCCTTAATCATGAACCTTAGCAAGTCATCTTCCTCTATGTAACTGAAAATCAAGAAACAATTTAAGTTTGCATGATTAAGATGAAAACTAGATCAAGACAGAGTATTATGTGCATAATGACTTACCAAGAATTTGGCTGAGCAACATTTTTAAAGATATCATAAGCAGCAGCCACAGCCTCCATCTCATTAGTTATCTCTTTATCAGTTTTCTCTTTCCGATGAGTGACTTCATCTAAAGTGTTAGATATAGTCGAGAGACCTGACGCTCCCACGGCTTCCATCAACACTCTCATTGTCCAAGCAGAGACCTTCTCTCGTTTCATCTTATGAACCTTTCCCATATCAAGCACCTTCTTCTCTTTCACCGTTCCATTGGTGCTCGTGAAACTAAGATGCCCCGTGCTTGGCTCATGCCCGATTCTCTCTGCCTCTTCTATAAGCGGAGGTCCCGAGAGAGTTTGGAGAACGTATTGGTGGAAGACAGACTCTTGAATCCTCTCAAAGAAGTTTCTAACGTTGAACTTTGAAGCAAGAACTTTCAATGCAAATGTCTTCACCAAGAAAATGATTGAGCCGACAAGAAGAGAGACAATTGTCCACGTTATCTTGTCGAGAAACTTCTTGGTCTTACGAGAGCGCTTATCATCATCGTCGAATAGAAATACCCACGCAACAAGAACCAAACTGAACCATATGAAGACTTGAACGTTCTTCTTCAAACCATGCACAAAGTACAAAACCTTTTTACGTAGGAGATAGTTCCTTTCTATAATAAACACAACTATATGCATGAACCAGTTTGTAACGAACATACCACTAAGCGTTACCATCACAAGAACACACCATTTCCAAACTTCAAGCCCCCAAATGCGATGCTCCTTCACCGTATCATTCTTTAAACTCACAATCAAAGTGCACAGAATAGCCACAAACACTAACAACTCAAGCAGAGCCAGAGGCTTGATTCCACTACGCTTCCCTTGGTGTAGCTTAACCTTTTTGTAGATTATTTCATTCTCATCAGTCTCGTCTTCAGCAACTCTACTCAAAGCTGTTGATCCAATACTCCTAGTTGATCTGTTACTAGGGGAAGCCCTATTAAAAGAAGCCCTTGAAAATGAAGCAGCACCAAAATGTTCCTTTGGGGTTCCACAATCCCCATCTACTGTAGTCTTATCGTGTCGATAAGACTGTTGTTGCCCAAACCTTGAGTTGGACTTGGAGTAAACTGACCTTGAAAGAGATCTCCTTCGAGTAAGACCTTCAGTGATGGGACTTGGAATCTTAGGTGGCTTATGAACACTACCAGAGAGTTTGTAGATTTCAGGGACAGGAATGCTTAATGGCTCCAGTTTTGTAGTCCCTGTGTTTGGCTTTGGTGAAGCTGCTACCTTGGAAGAAGGAGATGCTTCTGTATCTTTAGATCCTTCTTTCTCTGAAACATTGATAACAACATCTCCTCCGTTGCTGATTCTCCTCTCTGCCATCCCTAAGTCAACTCCAACCAGAAAAGCCCAAAAGCATAAGAGACCAGTTCCTAAGAACACAAGAGTAGAAAAATGTAACATTAGATCAATCACAAACCCTATAACGCTGGAACAGAGATCTTCAAGAAAGACAATTTGTTCCAAGTAAATGAGAATTTAACTCTTGATAACAATACACATGAATTATTTTTAAGAAACAACCATATTTAACGAAAGGCATAACAAAGTTCAAAAAGGAAAATTAACAGTCCTCTAATATGAGGTTTTATTTTTGTATGATATGAGGTTTTACTAATAGCAATAGTTATCAACATATGGTGCCAACTTCAGCTCTTGAGCTAGAAGAGCAAAAGGATAGAGATGGAGACGCTACAAGAGATGTCTCAAAATAAGAAGCTACGATGACAAAACAGAGTAAGTAATAAGAAGCTCTATATCCTTTTGTCGTCAAAAACATAGACAAACTTTTTTTTTTTTTTTTTTTTTTTACCATAGACAAACTTATGGAAACCTTAAAAGGAAAAAGTGAAAAGACAGAGCAAAAGAGCTTACAAGGACACAGAGAGCCGAGGCAAGGAATGATCTTGAAACTTCAGTCCCTGTGTTGTAAAGTACGAACTCCACTTTAAGTGCAATTTATAAACCAAATGAGTTCTAGATTAATACAGAACAAAACAAATGGGCGGCAATAAAACAAAGAGAATCACGTGGGTCAATACTTTTTTCAAAGGTGATATTCCCATAATAGTTTATGCCTACGCCGATGACAAGCGATGACTCGAACGTAAACTTATTGAATATTTTATTTTTATTTTATTTATGCTAAAAACCATAGTCATATTATTTATAATCTATCTACATCTTTTTCTTATGCCGAACGAATCGATATATATAAATATTGGGTGGTTATCTTCTTTTACGTAATATTAAAGTCATGAATTTTCTAAAAAATTGTTGTCCTATCTCCATCGTACGTACTTGGTGACAAGAATATACTGATCATCTTCATATAATTAAATGATGAGCTCTAGATAAGAAAGCAAAGATAACATGCATAGATCGAGAAATTTAGATTGTTTCAGTCAAAATTGTATCCTCACATAACCGGGCGTTGTCTTGATTACTTTGGTTGGATTTCGTTTACGAATTGCTTGGTGTTCGATTTCTTGTTTCTCGAGTTATTCCGGTTTAGTTTTGTTAATAAACTATATTGCTTACGAAGTAAAACCCATGTATCATCATCACTAAGTTCTTCTACTAGATCTAGTAATCGGATTAGGTCAATTAATGTTTATTAATGGTCTTAAACCGGCTTAAAGACCATATAGTTTGTGTTAGTAACGTGACTGTGTCACGTGATAGTTTGTGTTTTAGTAACGTGAATGTGTCAGATCTCCCAGATTTAAACAGTAACATAAAGTAAACAAAAAGGAATCCATACCGAAAGGTAACGTTGGTACTCAAAGAGAAACGCAAACTAAGTTAAAGCTTTTTGAGTTCAAATTAAACTGAAGCAAATTAAGATAACTAGTACTACTTTGAATAAATGCAAAAAGGAAAAAAAGGAAGAGTGGCTTTTCCCAATTATTTATGACCGGTGAGGTGAACTTCTTGAGAAAGAAGGGTGTAATCGATCTCAAGCTCCTCAAGTATTCGCTTAAGTGCAATGACCAGCCCGGTTCTTCTGAGATTCTTCTCTCCAAAGTTTTGGAAGTTCATGGTGTGTTGGACGAGTAGATTCAAATTCAGCTTGTTCACATTCTCAATGGCCTTCACCATCAACATGGGTTCTGGATACCAGTTTTGTGGGTTTTGCACCAAGTATCTAAACCAAAACAAACCAAGTATTCGTCAGTACATAATGAATGAATGAGCTGAGTTAATTAGAGCACCATTATCCTAAAAACTCAATAAAGGGTAGAAAAAAATTAAAAAACAAAACTAATCGCAAGCCGCCACGTGTTAGTGGAGCCCGCGAACAGTGCAAACACTCCCTTTGCGTCGGCACTTATACAGGCAGCAAAGACGCACAGATTTTCATTTTAGTGGAATCCATCCCTCTATTTTATTAGTTTTTCTTAAGCTCTCCCCCTAAACACAGTTGGATAAAGATGCTCTTAATGAGTAATTTAAGATGTTTTGAATAATACTTACTCTGCTACTTTTTCCTTGAGAGTGGCGATTTTTGCGGCTGGTGTTGAGAATGCAATGGAGAATTCTACTGAATCTCCCATATCTGGACTTCTATAGAAATTGCTTATTGGTTTTGATATCAAAGTCGCATTTGGATAGAACACTTTCTCGTTGTCAATCTTGAGGAACACGGTAGTTAAAAGATCTATTTCTTCAACCAACAACTTCAAAACAAAAAAAAAAGACCCAACTTTAGTTTAGTCGTAATAATGAGCCACAAAAAAAAAATTGAAAAAAAGTTATTTACCAGTACACCATCGACAACGCAACGATCACCAACGTCATAAGGGTGCATCACGAAGACAAACACAAAGGACTCAAAGATATTCTTGCAAGTACTTCCGATCATGAAAGCAAGACCCACGAATTGTGAAGAGAAGACCACCAAGAACTTGGTTGTTGCTATATCTAAAAGCACCAACCAAATGATGAAAGTGATGACAGACAAGACTCCAGTTATAAGTTTGTCCACTTGTCTAACTGCTGTCTTTGTATCGTTCAGTGAATGTCCTAATGCTTTTCGACTTGTGTAAACGTTAATCTGTTGGAAAAAATGGAAACACATGCTTACAAACCAATTTAATGTTTTAAATAAATAGGAGAAATTTCATTTATACCACTTTGGTGGTACCACTTTTACTTTTCATGCATGCATGTAAAAAAAACTAATGTTTATTTTTGTAAAGTGTTTGAGGATTGTTACCACCCATTCTGTAAAAGCGTTGCGTGTGATTTTTCCACTCTCGCCACCATCTATTAAAGGGAGTACAAGGTCTACCTCTTCCTTAATCATGAACCTCAGCAAGTCATCTTCCTCTATGTAACTGAAAAAAATAGAAAGCAATGTCAAGTTTGTTTTATTAATATGAAAACTAAGAAACTAAATTAAGGAAAGTTATTTGCTAGATGAAACTCACTTGTTGTTTGGCTGAGCAACATTGTTGAAAATATCATAGGCAGCAGCCACAGCCTCCATCTCATTAGTTATCTCTTTATCAGCTTTCTCCTTACCATTGCTACACTCATCCAAAGTGTTTGATATGGTTGAGAGACCTGAAGCTCCAACTGCTTCAATCAAAACTCTCATTGTCCAAGCTGAGACCTTCTCTTGTTTCATCTTGTGAACCTTTCCCATATCAAGAACTTTTTTCCCTTTCACCCTCCCATTCTTGGTGCTTGTGAAACTAAGATGGCCCGTGCTTGGCTCGCGCCCAATGATCTCTGCCTCTTCTATAAGCGGAGGTCCCGAGAGTGTCTGGAGAACATATTGGTGGAAGACTGACTCTTGAATTCTTTCAAAGAAGTTTCTGACGTTGAACTTTGAAGCAAGGACTTTCAAGGCAAATGTCTTCACCAAGAAAATGATTGAACCGACCAGGAGGGAGACAATAGTCCACGTTATAAAGTCGAGAAACTTGGTGGTCTTACGAGAGCGTTTCTCGTCATGGTCGAAGAGAAAGACCCAAGCAACCAACACCAGACTGAACCAAATAAAGACTTGAACGTTCTTCTTCAAACCATGCACAAAATACAACACTTTCTTACGTAGAAGATAGTTCTTTTCTATGATGAACACCGCTAAATGCATGAACCAGTTCGTCACCAACATGCCGCTAAAAGTCACCATCACAAGAACACACCATTTCCAAACTTCCAATCCCCAAATGCAATGCTCCTTCACCGTATCAATTGTTAAACTCACAACCAAAGTGGAAAGAATGGCTAGAAACAGTAGCAACTCAAGCAGAGCTAGAGGTTTGATTCCACCACGCTTCACTCGGTGTAGCTTAACCTTTTCGTAGATTTCTTCATTTTCATCGGTTTCCTCTTCAACAACTTTACTCATGGCATTTGAGCAAACACTCCTATTGGATTTGTTATTAGGGGAAGCTCTATTAAAAGAGTTTCTTGAAAATGAGCCAGCTCCAAACTGTTCCCTAAGAGTTCCACCATTTTCCTCAGATATAGTACTCTTATCGTACCGGTAAGACTGTTGTTGGCCAAACCTTGAGTTGGGCTTGGAGTAAACTGACCTCGCAAGAGATTTCCTTCGAACTAGACCTTCAGTGTTGGAACCTGGAACTTTAGGTGGCTTATGAACGCTACCAGAGAATTTATAGATTTCTGGAGGTGGGATGTTTAATGGATCTGGTTTAGTAGTCCCTGTATCTGACTCAGCTACTTTGGAAGGAGATGCTGATGGATCTCTAGACGCAGCAGCAGCGTCTGAGACATTGATGACAACTTCTCCTTCGTTGCTAGTTCTCCTCTCTGACATGCCTATGTCACCTTCAACAGATACGTTTGCAATGCGGTTTGACATCAATGGCTCTGTGAAGAGCCTTTAAGCTAGACCAAATCCTAAAACAAGAGAATTGAAATGTACCAAGGATTAAACCTTAAACCCTAAACCAAACCCTACAAGGCTAGAACATAGTTAGCCTAAGTTACAAAAATAAAAAATGGCTAGAACATAGTTTTGCAAGAAAGATCACTCTGTTCCAAGTAAATGAGTATTTAACTACTCAAAAAATAAACATGAACTCTTTAAAAGAAACGCCATTTTATCCATAGAAAGACGTAAGAAAAATCAAAACGTTACTTTCACTGAAAAAGAAAGTAACCTTGCATTGCTTAATATAGATATGAGCTTATTCTATTTTAAGATATGAGCATCCAATATTAAATCAGGTTTAAAAATGTTACTAATACCAACTTATCTCTTGAGCTAATAGAGACAAAGAATGCAGACGACTACCGGAATACAAACAAGAACAGTTAAAAGCAAGAGCCCAAGCTACAATGTCATAACAGAGCAGGTAAGTAAATTTAAAGGAACAAACAAGACAAATGAAAAAGAGAAGAAGATCGTACAAGGACAAAGAGAGCCAAAAGCAAGGAGTGATATTGAAACTTAGTTCTTGTCTTGCAAATTACGAACTCCAATTTGATTGCATTGTAGAGATCAAATGAAATACATATAAATACAAAAAAAGAAACAATTAAATACAGAGAATCACGTGGGTTTCCAGAGGCGATTCTACCCATGACAAGTTGATATCTCAAAACGTAAAATAATAAATTATATAGTCTTATTTTTCGATCCAATAGTCTTATTGTAATTTATTGACATCTTTTTCTTGTGTGATCCAGCAATTGGGTATATTATATATATATATTTGTTTAATTTATTTAAAGTAGTACAGAGAATCAAAGATCATGATCTTTCTTGTAAATGATTCTTGCCATAGGCATAATAATACAAACTTAATGGAAAGGAATGTTAGAAATGAACTTCATTTAATCAACTCATGTGCTCTACGTAGAACAAAACAAGAACATGCATGAATGGAGAAGCCACACTGTTTGGTGCTCAATAAAAAGAGAAAATGGTGAAGCCGGGCTCTACAAGAATTTTGATATGGCCAGGCCAAGGAATTAGCCACATATTTTTTTTTTTTTTGTAACAAATAGATGGATTCATTGCCCCTACACTTATAAGATACCCTAGCGATGTTGATGCTCGAATTGACAACTGAAAATTTGCCACAACTTGGCCAGTACGTGGCCAACTTTCACTTTAACGTAGTTATTAATTAGTCAACATGGTCAAAACACAAACACACGGTCGACAGCTAGAATATATTCAAATTACGATGCTTCTGATTAAAAACCTAGTTTATTAAGCGTTCTTGGTTTTTCAACCTTATTTTCACATATACGATACATCGACAACACCGATTTGGGAATCTCAATGGAAAATCAAGTCAGCTAAGCTTTATAATAAATTTTAAATATAAGCTGCATGTTATCTTCTGACCAAAAAAAAAAAATTTCCTCCATACCATGATTTTAACGTGTTCGGCTGGGTATTAAACTTTTAAAGTAACATGCATCGATAAGCTATTTTTTTGCAAACAAAAAATATTCAAAACTAGCTAAAGTGAGCTAATTAGTATTTATAAGAATGTTACCCGAATAGCCTTGCACCAGGAGTACTTTTCTAATTTTGGTTTACAAAAAAAATTCACCACTATAAAATAATCCAAACTGATATATACTTTCAGGAAATTGTCTTTGAGTAGTAAAATAAATGTATCGTCTATACATGTTTAAATATCTGATTGTCGATTAATTAAGATGAGCTTGAAATCTTCAAACATCTAACCACTATTCGCGGGTGTCAAGTGTGACCACACTACTTTTGTATTCACTAGTTTAAGTAGAAAGCAGTCTTTAATTATTAAATTGTTCGCTCTTGGATCTAAACATAACTTCATAATGAAGCAACATATTGATGAAGGTTATATTGCAAAATAATACTCCCATTCCCTCTCTTCAAGTTTGGTATGTACCACATCAATCTCGTCTTCAATTCTCTATCAAAACTAAATTATCACTACTTGGCTAATCTGGATTTGGACTTCGACCCAGATAATTTATATGATAGGTTGTAACAGATGATCGGTCCACTTCTGACATTAGTTGGAAGGTTTTCAAATTTGGGATAGATAATATGGTACGTTTTTAGGCTATGCCATTATGTATGTTCTTCTCGTAACAGACCAAATGAAGTGATATAGTTTATAAAAAAAATAGTAATAATAATACTTCCAAAATTTAGGTATATTATGGATCATCTCTTTTCGAGATAAATAACCATAAAACAGAGGAAAAAAATAAGGAAAATTTAGTTTATTAAACCATATTCACAAATGGTTTGTCCCTTATACCACTAAGTCTATCGATTTTTCTTAATATACTTTTAGTATTTTTAGTGAAATTAACTCTCTAACTAAATAAATAACATAATTTTGTTAACCTTAAACTTAATTATATTTATGTTTATTAATTTTATTTATAAAAAATCTTCATAACTACAATTTCTTAGTTTCATCGCAACAACTTAAATTATTCTCTTAGTTTTTTATTCACGTTTGTTCTAGTAACATTTGATTTTCATATCACTTTTATCATCTATTCTAATTTTTTTCAGTGTTCATAATAGTTTTTTTGTTAAAAGACACAGAAATAGTTGAGTTATACCCACTGTGCTATTCCCTAAATTGAACACCAACGAATATAAATTGATTCCAAAAGTGTTAAAACCAAAATTATTTTAAACCAAACACATCTGAAACCAAAAAGTAAACAATAATCAATACCATGTTCTAGTAAATGTCATCCAATGTAAATTCCAAAACAAGATAAATTTGACTAAAATTAGTTAAGATTGATTCTAAATTTTTTCATATTTTAAAATATAAAACAACCAAAAATGTAGAATACATTTTCTAAATCAGATAAAACACAAACAGCGGGTTATAATATAAATTCCATTTTTAGAACATATGATAAAGGTAAGTACAAGATGTTTTATCTACGACATATTATATAATATATGATAGAACAGAGGTAAACATTTTCTAGTTTTTTTAGGAGAAATTGGCTAATCAGGCCAGATTGAGAATGAATTTGTCCTCTTATACCTTTGAATCTATAATTTGTCCTAATATACCTTTGATTTTTTTAAAATACAAAATTAACCCCTATTTAAATAAATAACATGATTTACTTCAATTAAAATAGCAATCATATTTTTATTAATTTTTTAATAAAAAGGAAAATAATCTTTTGTGGTTAAAATTTTAAAAAACCCTAAAACTTATTTGTGACATTTTTTATTCATTTTGCCTGAAAAAACAAAGATAAATTGGTGGTCTCCGGCGCTCGCTCCGGTTCTCTTAGAATGCTCTCCGGTTATCGAGTCCCGCAACGATTTCTCTTTTGTATATTATATGGTTTCCATTTTCGTTTTAGTTCTTTTTACGTAGTCTTCTCTGGGAGATTCCTCGGTCCATTGTAAATTTTCAACGTTATTCAATGTAATTTTTTGTCCAAAAAATAAATTTGATTAAAATAGTTAAGATTGCTTCCTAAATTTTCTCATATTTAAAAAACATAAAATAACCAAAAAAATATAATACATATTCTAAATTGGATAGAACACAGACTAAAGGTTATAATACAAATTCTAATGTTTTAGAACATATGATAAAAAGAATAAAATATTCTATATGCGATATATAATAAAATATAGGATAGAACATAGGTAAATACTTTCTAGATTTTTCTACAATGAAGTAAAAATCCTAGAATATATGTTGTATGTTAGAAATAAAAAATTGTTTTGGTTAGAATAGAGGCATACATATTCTATAGTGAGATAGATCCTAGATAAATTTTATAAAATTTTGAAAGCAAGTTATAATGTATATTGTATCATTGTAATAAGAGTTATAATATGCATACTAACAAACTTAGATAAAAAATCCATATTATTTTGAAAATTATTTTTTTATATCAAAACATATAAAATATTGTCATGATTGTACTAAAACTTTCATATTTTTCTATATTTGTATCAGTTTTAGTAATTATTTTAATTATTATAAAAGTATTTATCTCCAAAATTGACTAATTATTGCAAAGGTTTAAAGGAACAAAAACATTATCAATATGGTCCATTTTCCCAATTTTTTTATTTTTTATAATGAAGTAAAAAACCTAGAATATACATTGTTTGTTAGAAATAACAAAGTGTTTTGGTTAGAACTGAATCATATGTATTCAATATTTACATACATTAAGTATTTACAATACAAATACTAAATTTTATAAAACGTTGAAGTCAAGTTAGAATGTATATATTATCCTTGTAAATAGAGTAATAATACCATTCTAACAAATTTAAATTAACATCCAATTTTTTTTTTAAATTTAATTGTTTCTGTCAAAACGCATAGAATATTCTCATAATTGTATTGATTTTTCATATTAATCTGAACCTGAAATCATTTTTTTATAATTATTTTTATTATTATAAGGGTAATTATGTTCAAAACTAACCAATTACTCCCTTCGTTTCACTTTATTTGTTGTTTTAGAAAAAAAAGACTGTTGCAAAATAAATGTCGTTTTATAATTTTAATGCAGAATTTGATAGTTTATCTATTTTTTTATTTGTTAAATTATGGTTAAATGTATAGATAATTGTGTTTTTATTTTAAAAATATTGAAAATTAAACAATTTCTTAATTTGTGTCCACAAAATTAAAATAACAACTAAAATTGAACTGAAAGAATACTACAAAGGTTTAAAAGGACAAAAACTATTTTATTGTGGCTTATTTTTCAAATTTCCCCAAAAAGTAATCGGGAAATACCTAGACCAAATTTATTCTTCCCGGACTCTTAGCAAGCTAAAGGTATAAAGCCCAAATAATAAATAAATCAAGGCTTAGCCCATACAAGTTTACTTCCTAATCAGGTTTAGGGTTTTCTCAGTAGCTAAACTCTACTCTCACCTTCTTTCAACTAACTCCCTCTTTGAACGTCTCAAAAGCAGAGCATCAATGGCCGTTACCTTCTCCGATCTACACACAGAGCAAGGTGTCAAATCCGTGGACGATCACCTCGCCGGAAAAACCTACATCTCCGGGTAAAGTTTCTCACTTTCCTTTCTTTCGCTATAACCTTTTCGAAGTCTAACAGAGTGTTTTTATTTTTTGATTTTGCAGAGATCAATTGACTGTGGATGATGTGAAGGTATACGCTGCCGTTTCGGAGAAACCTAGAGATGCTTTCCCTAATGCTAGCAAGTGGTACGATTGCGTCGCTTCCCACCTTGCTAAAAGGTTCGTCCTTTTTTGCAAAAAAAATTGGATCAGTTTGTTGAGGTTTGGATTGTTATTTACAAATTTTGAATTGTTGCAGCTTCCCTGGAAAAGCTGTTGGAGTGTCAATCGGTGGCTCTGCTGCTCAACCTGAGGTGCCTTTTACCTGAAAGCTTGATTCTTTATGTGCTCTGTTATTGAACAGTGACATGTTTCTAAGTTTCTGCCTTAGTAAAAATCGTAGAAATCATTAAAGTAATGAAGAATGCTATGAGCTGTGTTTTCTGGAGGAAAAGTTGTCATGTGTTTTAGTTATTTTCTATGGATTGTGGACAGATACCTGAAGCTTAAGTGTCTTTACTTAAAAGCTTGATTCTTTATGTGCTCTGTTGTTAAACATATGACATGTTTAACAACAGAGCACATAATAGTATTGAAGAATGTTCTGCTATGATGATGCTTGTATTAGAAATCTACGAGTTATGAACAGTAGAGGAAGGGTTGCTCGTGTGTGTGTTTAGCTATTTTCCATTGATTGTGAATAGGCACCTGCAGCAGCTGCAGGTGATGACGATGATGACATGGATCTGTTTGGTGACGAGACTGAGGAGGAAAAGAAAGCTGCTGAGGAGAGGGAAGCTGCTAAGAAGGACACCAAGAAGCCCAAAGAGAGTAAGCCTCTCTCTCTCTCTTTGTTTTACTACTTGCAAGCATCTGTCTTTTGCCTTTGTGCGGAGGAGGTGTAAGTGGGTAATCAAAATGATGAGTTCTAATTCTTTTCTTGATATCCAACTTTTGGTTAGGTGGAAAGTCATCAGTGCTCATGGAAGTAAAGCCATGGGATGATGAGACTGATATGAAGAAGCTAGAAGCAGCCGTTCGCAGTGTTGAGATGCCTGGTCTCTTATGGGGAGCTTGTACGTCATCATTTTCCATCTGCTATACTTCCAATTGGAACAAGTGTAAGCTTTGAACTATATGTGTAGAGGCAGCTTTCTAATTGAGTTTAATTGTTGCAGCAAAACTGGTACCAGTTGGTTACGGTATCAAGAAGCTCACGATCATGCTCACAATTGTTGATGACCTTGTTTCCCCAGACAACCTCATTGAGGATTATCTCACCTGTGAACCTAACAACGAGTACATCCAGAGTGTTGACATCGTCGCATTCAACAAGATTTAAACCTCTCTCCCTTCTCAAAAGATGTTTGATTTTCCCTTCCAGGTTTTGTTAATTTGTGTTGTGTGCTAAGATGTTTATCTTGTAGTGGCAAGACCTCTTTCAAGTTACAAGTAACTTAAACTATCAATGCTTACTGTTCCTTTGCCATGGCTGTTAAGAAACACTCAAGTACAGTGTCAAACACTCAAGCAATTGTGTGAAAGTGTCCCATATTGGCTTTAGGATGCATCCCACAATAGTCAAGATGGAAAAAATAAACTGTGAAAGATACCATTACAGTACTTGCAAATCTGACATGCAAACATAGCTCGTAAGTTATAATTAGGTCTAGCTCTGAAACAAAACAAAAAAACGTACCAAATGGTTTGGTTTATGTTTCTGATTCTATGAATTATTCGAGATCTTATATTTGACCGGAAAAACTGAATTAGAACTGAACAAGAATCGAAAGGGTATAATTTTGAGAAAGCGAGCATTTAAGTACCAAACTTACTCAAATTTGCCAAAAACACATATTTTTCATTAATCCAAAAATAGCAAACTTAAAATTACTTTTACCTAGCCAATTTAAGCGGCCGTTTAGTGTTAACGAACAGAAACACGTATACATAACTCAATTTTCAAATCAAAATCAGAAGAACGCATAATTCCAGAAATCGATTTCTCACCTCAATATTCTCTATGTTTGTTTCAGAAGCCAAATCAAGTATGATATGAACAATACGAGATGGAAAAAATTACACTTTCGTCGTCCACAAGTGACCTAAAACCTTTATCAAAAAATAAATAAAAATTATTTTAATTTTATTCTGAAAACCTACAAAATTTGATAATTAGTCCAAACAACCTAATTTCCTAACTTTTTAATTCAAATTAACAAAAATATCAGAACCGAACCAGAATCAATCGAAAAACCAAAATATTTGAACCGAAATCAAATGTAATTTCCTACCCTCTAGAACCAAAAATCTGAAATCAAAATAAACAGAAACGAATCTCTACCCAAAATACCCAAGCCTACTTATGATATATGGGATTTGATATAAATTTGATTCATGTTATTTGACTCTCTCATATCGGTCGTGCAGGCAGAACTCAAAATGTATACATTACATTTTACAGAACTCTGATGTCTTTACACCCAGACATATTTTACATCACTCGGATTGCAACTTTATGGAACAAAGGCCCTAGTATGGCCTGATACAACAATTGATGTAGGTCAAGAACCTCTTCTTCTTCTGCACGGTAATTAAATTAGTAATGTAAGCGAGGCTGATACTTTTATACATAACCTGAACATCATCGGTTCAGATATGTCTATATGAGTTGAACTACTAAAATTCTTGTGTAAAAAAAGCATGCAGAAACCCAAAATTAAACCATTGTTATAATACCACCTTGTGATGATCCATGCGCGTTTATTAAGGGGAAAAGGATCATCAAACAAGGTGGTATATAACAAAGAATATATCCACAGAAAAAGAATAACTAGAGAGAGAGAGAGAGAGAAAGAGAGATGTGTTACCATGACAGGGTCATCATCTTGGGTTTCGCGGGGATGGTGAAGTTGCTGGTGGTGGTGACGACGAGCACTTGCCATGAGTTCTTGTTCACTTCCCAAAGAATGTGTGACATCAGCTTTGCTTAGCTTCCTGTTAGCACGAGCTTTTTTAAACACAACCGAGTAGTCTGTTGCGTCTATTCCTTTTTGGTCCCATCCTCCAAACTGTGGAACTGGAGTCCATCCAGGATTCTGCATTCATAGCCAATTATTAAAACCTCGTTAGAGAATCATATACTATATAGTTGGAGTTACGAACTAAACATTAAAACAAACAAACAAACAAACGAGATGTTGAGATCTCATCGGTTAACTTTCCCCTTTCTACAAACGCGCATTAACCGATGGAACCTCAACATCTCGAGAACTCTAAAATCATGGTAACTAAATGGTTTTGATGAAAGTAATTAAGAACATGAAAAAATGATTGATTAGAGAGCCATGCCTCTCTCCTATTTGCCATAAATAGATATTTGCTTGATTAAAAAGAAAGAGGTTCTTAAACATTGATGAATGCGTTCATCATGGTGAAGACATTTTTCTTGAATTACACCACTTTTTGATTTATAGTTCGAAGAATGCTTGGGACTTCACAACCCTATAGGAGCAGATTTAGGTTATTTCTAAACTTGGGGAATCTCAAGCAATGGTGCTCCGTTACATACGGGCCCTTTTGTCATATTGTTGATATCAACTACTCTTTATCGTTCTGGAAAAGGTTGTAAGAGCCATGCAGACGATACATAAATCTATTTATGTATACTAAATAAAAGGAAGATCGCATACAAATTTTCAAAATGACATTATACGTTAGATTTTTTAGAAGTTATTTAATTAGTATATAAAATAAAAGTCTTAAACTTAATTTATTTGTTTGTCAAATAAAAAATGACTTATTTATAGATAACTACAATTAATGACAGTGTTAGTTTAAAAAATATTATTAATAACTTAATTAATAACAGCAATAAACAATAAATCAAAATAGGAAAATAAATAAACCAAAATGTACTAATAGAAGTAAAAAAAACATTAACACGCTTGCACGAGAAATTTTTGGGTTCACCCCATAGGATGAATTTTAGGTTCACCAACCAATAGAATTTCATTATTTTATATTTAATATCTTTTAAAAAAAAACAAAATATTATCAAATTATATTGTGTTTTTAAAATTAAAAAATAAAAATAAATAAAAAATAATAGTTGCAAACAATTTTTTTTTAAAAATATATATTTTTAATACTGTCAGTAGAACATTAAATCCTAAACCCTGAATCCTAAACCTTAAACCCTTGGATAAATCCTCAATCTTTGGATTAATCTTAAACCCTAGGATTTATGATTAATCCAAGTGTTTAGAGTTTCCAAAGGGTTTAAGGTTTATGATTTATGGTTTCGGATTTAGTGTTTTGCTGACGGTATTAAAAATATTTTTTTTTAAAGTCAAGGGTTTACGGTTTACAGAATGGTTTTAAGGTTTAGAATTTACAGTTTAGAGTTTACTGTTTTGATAATAATATTAAAAATAAATAATTTTTTTGCAACTATTATTTTTTTATCTTTAAATTTTTAAAACATAATATAATTCGAAACTTTTTTTTTTTAAATATTGTATATAGAGTAATGTAATTTTAGTTGTTGGTGAATCTAGAGATGAATCCAATAATTATTCCCCTTGCACGATCACATTCACACTAGGTCCCAAACACGACCAAAAACACAAGTCCACAACACACATAACATTCAACAAACAAGAAATAGCACCACACCACTAGTAAAACTTAAAACCAAGCCTTGGCACCCTTTTTTGGGAAAGTAATATTAGCCATATGGACCATCTTTATAAACCTTCACTTCTTTTAAAAGATCATATGCTCTCTCAGGCCTCACCTTCTGATTGCAACGAACCATCTCTCATCAACTCATTGCTCAAACTCTTGAATCTTTCTCTGGAATACTGTCTCGATGCTTTCCTCCAGTCAGTCCCAGTTTCCATCATCGCTGCAAACTCTTCATAGCTTATTCGTCCATCCTAAATCACCAAGAAGCAAAAACGATTAATAGGAGACGACGTAGCTTATACTAACCTTCAAACTACTAGCTTTGCCATCAAAGAACCATTCAAGACCTAGTACTAAGGATGCACTGTTATGACTTATGATATATACTCATATGACTTAACTAATAATCTTATCTTTTTTCTCAGTTTGCAAGGTTACACAGTATATAGTCAAAGACAAATCAAATCAACAGTAGACACTACTAAACTGCAACCAACCACTGATGTCCCATTATAACAGCCTTTTCTAATATAAAATTTCTTTGATAAGTTTCCATTTCTTAAAGTGTTTTTGGGGTTTACCTTGTCGGTGTCAACATCTTGCATGATGGCTGCAATGACCGCCTCACTGCTAGCATCCACCTCAACATATAATGCTTCCCGCAGCTCTTCAATCTCTATGTAATTGCTCTGGTTCTGGTCAAAAAAGCTAAAAGCCTTGTGCAAGTGTTCATCGTTAGCCATCTTCTGAAGATGCACAGAGACAGCCACAAACTCGCCATAATTTAAAGTCCCGTCCCCATCCGCATCAGCCTGCACACCAAAAAAAGCTTTTAAATATATGTTGCTTGGTGAAGACAATAGAAGGACACAAAGGTCCAAGTTCTTAGAATTTTTTTTCTTACAGTTTCCATCAAAATCTGTAGATCAGCATCAGGTATCTGCGGATGTCCGAGTTTAAGCAGCCCATTTTTAAGCTCCTCGATGTTTATCTTGCCCGTCTTGGTATTGTCCATCATCTCAAACGCTTCCTTTATGCCAGCTACTTCTTCCACTGACAAGTAATCGGCTATCACCTGAAAAAAAGAGTGAAAAGAAGTCTCACACTAACAGAAATAAGGTCACCAAGCAGCGGCAATGCTCTAAGGAATCACTTACCTGTAGGGCTTGTTTCTTGAACTTGTTCATAACAGAAAATTGTTTGAGCCTTGCTTTCACAGTCTCGCCGAGGGAAGCATTTGGAGCCTTCTTTGGATTCATTATCCAAGGATGTTCTGCTCCAAAATAGAAGCCATATAAGTAACAGATTTTGAGAAACACAGAACCAAATTAGATAACATTCGTACCGAGTACTTGTGCAGCAGAGAGACGCTTTTTGGGGTCAGGTTCGAGCATGTTTCTCACAAGGTCTTTGGCAGTGTCAGAGACTTTTGGCCATGGATCCTTCTTAAAGTCGATGACTGACCTGATGATAGCCTTAGCCACCCCTTGCTCAGTCTCTTTACAAAATAAAAACAATATATCAAGAAAAAAAACTCAAAAATTAGTGAAAGAGAAGATAAAGCAAAAAAAACTTCGAAATAGGTCACTAGGTGAATCCATGAAACCATAGTTAACATCAAGATCCTAAATCATCTACTAATGAAAACTAGTGATTCTGCAATAAATCTTTGTATCCATCATCTAGTATAAAAAAAAAGAGAGAGAGAGATTAAGAGAATATGATAGAGCATAACAAACCAGCCCAAAATGGTGGAACACCACAGAGCATGATATAAAGGATGACTCCAGCACTCCAGATATCAACCTCAGGTCCATAGTTTTGTTTAAGTACTTCTGGTGCCATGTAATATGGACTTCCGACAATCTCATTGAATGTCTCACCTGTTACAAATTCGAAAACATCAAGTAGAATGAACAGAATAAAATAAAAATCTATCCAAGTCTATGTGTGATCTATACCAGATTTAAAGAAGACTGATAATCCAAAATCTATGGCTTTAAGGGGTGAATTATCATTTTTATTAGCAAAGAGAAAGTTCTCAGGCTTTAAATCTCGATGCATCACTCCATCCTCATGGCATACCTGAAATTCCAAAAGGTATTCAAATCATAAAGGCAGAAGTTTAGAATCATTTACAAGAATGGGATAAAAAAACAAACCTGAACAACTTCAAGAATAGTCTTCATTACTGCAACAGCATCTCGTTCAGTGTAATGACCTCTTGCAACAATCCGATCAAACAACTCACCACCTTCACAAATCTCCATCACTATATACACAGCTTTATCGTCTTCAAAGGTATCTTTGAGCGACACAATGTTGGGGTGTTTACGCATAGTCTTTAGTATCTCAACTTCCCTCCTCACATCCTCTTTATCCACTTCTGTGTTAAGCTTCTTCTTTAACAGAGTCTTGCACGCATACTTCTCGCCGGTTTCAATATCAATACACAAGTTCGTAATACCATACTGTCCACGACCAAGCTCACGACCCAGATCATACCTAAGGGATATATCATCTCCTGTTGGATCTTTCAAAAGAGCTCCAGATCTTTTTGGTGGGTGGGGTTTGGTCTTTGGTTTCCCAATGCTAGCACAACAGTTTCCCATGTGTGATCAAAACCTGATCAACAAAACTAAATGACTTAGTAAGGCCAAAACATAATAACATGCATGAGTTTTAATTTTCTCAATCAAGAAAGCTTTAAAAACTATATCAATAATTAATTATGAGAGACCTTTGACATGCATGAGTTCTACTTTTCTCAATCAAGAAAACTTAAAACTATATCAATAATTAATTAGCACATTTAAAAGATAATCATAGAAACTGAAGAGTAGATAAGTAAACCCTATAATAGAGACATGAGAGCTTAACTGGCGGGAAGGATGAAGTGTCAGAGAGAAAGGTAAAGGAGGACAAGAGTCAAAGTCTCCCTCTATCTTGGCTATTTGAACAAAGCGAAGGTACTCTCATTTTGCACTACCTAACCTACTCCCTCTTTTCTCGGCGGCTATTTGAGAACAGCAAAGGGACTTTCTTTTGGTCCACACCCAGCTCTCTCTCCATAATTGTTTCTGCCTATGTACTTTCTCTAAAGTAAACTTGTTTGTTATGAGCCCAAGATATATGTTAAAAAAAAAAAAAAAAAGAGAGCTATGTGATCAGTGTTAGTGCATCTCAAGTCTACCTACAACATTCACGTTCACACCGTGAGAGCTACGTTTCATCTACGGTTACAAAAACGCTTTTGACTCAAGATGCTTTGGTGCAGGAGTTCAAAACGTTAAGTGTCCCCTTGAGAGGAGGATCAATAAGCTCAGCCTGAAAAAAGTGAGGATAATAAAAATATTAAGAACACATCACAACGCACATAGAAAATGAAAAACAACTTTTTTGAGGTGATAATTTAATAAACATGTGGGTCATTGACGTCATATTATAAAATGGGGAAGCAGTGCTGGCAAACTCATTGGCCTTTTTTGAGAAGCCGACTCGAATGATTCTTCTTCCAAAAGGTCTGCTTTGAACAAATGAAGTCTTTCCTTTGCACCTTCCAGCGAAACCAAGTGCTGTGTCTTTTCTGGATTACCTAAAGGTTTTAAAGTCATGAAAAAATCAACAACAAAGCCCGAAGCTTTGATTTGTACAAGCAGATAACAAGGGATCACTCTTTAACATAACTTTAGTATACTTACAGCATATATTTTTAAGATGTACCTTTGAATCTAAGCTAACAGTTAACTAGTATACAAACTCAAATCTAAGGTTCCAGTCTTATAGACTTAATAACTCAAACGCATGACATAATCTTTGAACCCTAGAGAGGATGTGAGAGAGAGAAGAGCAAGAGAAGTGGGTACTGAACTGGGCTCTCGGACATGCCTTAACGGTGTATGCGTGCGTGGTTGGGCCATACCACATCACACCACTTGGCACCCATGTGTGAAATAAATCATTTTTTAAGAAAACAACAGTAAGAAGTCAGTTTCTAAGCACAAAACATAAGAAGTGGTCAAGAGTTTACAGGTTTCACAACCAAATAATACTGAAGAAGACTATTAACTAGTAAAACTATAAATGAAATGTAACATCCAGGTTTGTGGTATATGGAAAGGTTTAAGAGAATTTATTTGGCTATCTATATCACCAAAATTGATTTACCTTTTACGTCACAAATTTGTTTAAATTTCAAATTATGCATGCGTTGATTGGAGTAGTGAAAGAATAGGTGACATTTCAGAAAGTGATTCGTGATATCGTGCGAGTGAGGCCAAAACACAAGAAAATGTTAGGTGGTAATTGCATGATCAGTAAACAAAATTTTCAAACTTTGGAAAAATTAAGGACAACCCATTAGATAGGATAGACCCACGGACCGAGAGTACGAGCATGGGTGATCCATTAACCATGAACGGACAATCCATTAACTATAACGGACAAAGCTTTACATGAAACCTAACCAGATGTAATCATCTCAAAGAAACCAAGATAAGATCCTAAACTTATTATATACCAGTAAGTATGCTCACAGCCTTTCACCATAGCATTCTCTTGAAGAGGAATTGCATTCAAGCAAACTGCACAAAAACATATTACCATAACCAAAAATCATTAAAATACACACTTGCATGATCACATTCACAGTAGCTCCCAAACACCACCAGAAAACAACTCCAACCAAAAAAAATCATTAAAATACACACTTTCATGATCACATTCACATTACGTCCCAAACACGACGAGAAAACAAGTCCACAACACACATACTAACATTCAGCAAACAAAAAATAGTTTCAATATTCTAACACTCTCATTATTTTGAGGCCCAAATGCTTGAAGATTTCTCTAGAATACTGTCTCGATGCTTTCCTCCAATCAGTCCCAGATTTCATCATCGCTGCAAACTCTTCATAGCTTATTCGTCCATCCTAATCACCAAGCAGCAAAAACGATCAATAGAACACTTAGCTTTTACTAACTTTCAAACTACTAGATTTGCCATCAAAGAACCATTCAAAGACCTAGCACTAAGGATGCACTCTTCTGAGATATACTGATATGACTGAACTAATAATCTTTTTTTTTCTCAATGCACCAGGTTACACAGTATAGTATCAAAGACAAATCCAGCAAAGATAATCAACAGAAACCATAAACTAGAACCTAAGGAAACTCTTGACTAGAGAACCCGAAAAACCTAACTTATGTATCCTTTCATTGATATTTAGTCACTTTAATACTTCTCATAAACCCTCTATAATTACTACTTCTCTTATGCTACTAAATTGAACCACTGGTGTCCCATCATAACCGTTCACAGAAATGTCATTGTGTTAGCCTTTTCTAATACACATTTTCTGTAACAAATTTCCATTTCTTAAAGTCTTTCTAGGGTTACCTTGTCAGTGTCAACATCTTGCATGATGCCTGCAATAACCTCCTCATTGCTAGTATCCACCTCATCATATAAAGCCTCCCTCAGCTCCTCAATCTCTATGTAACCGCTCTGGTTCTTGTCAAAAAAGCTAAAAGCCTTATGCAAGTGTTCGTCGTTCGCCATCTTCTGAAGATGCACAGAGACAGCCGCAAACTCGCCATAGTCTAATGCCCCATCCCCATCCGCATCAGCCTGCAAAACAAAAACAAAAAAAAACACTTTCAAATATATGTTGCTATACATAGAAGGAACACAACGTTTTAAAAATTGTTTTTTTTTTCCTACAGCTTCCATCAAAATCTGTAGATCAGCATCAGGTATCTGCTGATGTCCGAGATGACAGAGTCCAATTTTAAGCTCCTTGAGGTTTATCTTGCCCTTCTTGTTAATGTCCATCATCTTAAACGCTTTCTTTATTCCAGCTAGTTCCTCCACTGACAAATATTCAGCTATCACCTGTAACGAGGTGAAAAGAAGTCTTCTAAATAAAAAGAAATAAGGTCAACAATTCTCTAAGGAAAATCACTATACCCTTAGCGCTTGTCTCTTGAGTTTGTTCATAGCAGAAAACTGTTTGAGCCTTGCTTTCACAGTCTCGCCTAGGGAAACATTTGGAGCATTCTTTGCATTCTTTATCCAAGGATGTTCTGCTCCAAAATAGAAGCCACTTTTTATTTTGCTCCAAAATAGAAGCCACTTTTTATTTTGCTCCAAAAGTAATTAATTTTCAGAAACACAGAACCAAAATAGAAAACATATATACCGAGTACTTGTGCAGCAGAGAGACGCTTTTTGGGGTCACGTTCGAGCATATTTCTCACAAGGTCTTTGGCAGTGTTTGAGACTTTTGGCCATGGTTCCCTATCAAAGTCGATCTCTGACCTGATGATCGCCTGAGCCACCCCTTCATCAGTTTCTTTACAAAATAAAATAGGCCACTAGTTAACATCAAGATCCTATATCATCTATTAATGATACTAGTGATTCTGCATTAAATCTTTGTATCCATCATCTAGTTAAAAAAAAAAAAGAGATTAAGACAATATGATAGAGCATAACAAACCAGCCCAAAATGGTTGAAAACCACAGAGCATGATATAAAGGATGACTCCAGCACTCCAGATATCAACCTCAGGTCCATAATTTTTTTTAAGTACTTCTGGTGCCATGTAATTAAGAGTTCCAGCAATCTCACTGAATCTCTCACCTGTTTACACATTCAAAAATCATATTAAATAGAGGAAACAAAAAAAAAATTAGCAACAAAAAAGAAATTGCGAGTAAGAACCTCAACAACAAAACAAACAACTTTTTGGTTGCATGTCACTATGACATGCAAACGAACATAGCCATATTGGATATTATATAGAGAATACATACCAGGCTTAAAGAAGACTGATAATCCAAAATCTATGGCTTTAAGGGGTGAATTATCATTTTTATTAGCAAAGAGAAAGTTCTCAGGCTTTAAATCCCGATGCATCACTCCATCCTCATGGCATATCTACAAGGTATTCATTCAAATCATTTAAGGCAGAAGTTTCGAATCATTACAACTAGCTCTGCGGGTTTAAACCGAACCGAACCAAAATTTTTGGTTTTCGGTTCAGTTTTGGTCTTGATTTCGGTTTGGTTCGGAATGGTTATGAAAATTAATTCGGTTTTCGGTTCGGTTCGGTTTTGATTTTTTGTTTTTTTAAAAAAATATGAAAACCCAAAATATCTGAAAATATCCAAAAATACCCAAAAATAACCGAAATTCCAAACTGAATTATCCGAAATAACCGAATTTAATCGAAAATAATCGAATTTAACCGAAAATATCTGATTATTTTAGAAAATTATACCAAAATCTACCCGAAACAAAAAGAAAATCGGTTAATTCGGAAATTAAAGTTAAAATCGAAAATAACCAAAAACGAACCGAAACAATTTTATTTTCGGTTCACTTTGGTGAAATTGTGGCTGAACGGAATAAACTTAACCGAAACCGAAAATACCTGAACCGAATAAACCGAATGATCCGAACTCGCAGGGCTAATTACAACAATGGATAAAAGACAAACCTGAACAACTTCAAGAATAGTCTTCATTAAAGCAGCAGCATCTCGTTCAGTGTAATGACCTCTTGCAACAATCCGATCAAACAACTCACCACCTTCACAACACTCCATCACTATATACACAGCTTCATCGTCTTCAAAGGAATCCTTGATGGACACGAGGTTTTGGTGCTTAGGTATACGCATCATTATCTCAACTTCCCTCCTAACATCCTCTATATCACTTGCTGTTTTAAGTTTCTTCTTTAATATAGACTTGCACGCATACTTCTCGCCAGTTTCGATATCAGTGCACAAGTACGTGGTACCAAACTGTCCACGACCAAGCTCACGACCCAGATCATACCTAAGGGATATATCACGTTCTCTTGGATCTTTCAAATGAGCGAACTTGAAACCAGCTCCAGAACTGCTGTTTGTTGTAGACGTGTACTCGTTAAAAAACGGGTTGTGTTTGTTTTTTGGTTTAGCATAACAGTTTCCCATGTGTAATCAAATCTGAGATTTTCATCAACAAAACTAAATTACTTACAAGACAAGCATGACTGAGTTTCTATTTCTCAATAAAGAAAACTTTTATCAATGAACATCAGATGAAAACCCAACCAACAAAAAAAAAACGAAGCTTTTAACAGAGACCTGAGAGCTTAACTGGCGAGGAGAAAGGCGGAAGTAACAGGGCGGAGATGAAGTGGCAGAGAGGAAGGAGAAGGAGGGTTAAGAGTCAAAGTCTCCCTCTTTTGACTCTTTAGCAAAACAAAAGGACTCTCTTTTGGAAAAGAGGGGTCTCACCCACCCACTCTCGCTTTCATTGTTTTTGCTTTTAACACTTTCTCTAAAATAAACTTTGTTTGCCAATGATGACAAGAACATAGGTTTTTAAAAAGTTCATGTTCAAATTTCAAAGGGAGTCTAATCGCTTCGTGTTTACAGTCACAGACAATTAGATTAGACGTATTTAATTAAAATCAATCACAAAAAAGTTCCATAGAACATAAATTCTAATTTTTAGCTTCGGACATGAAATTATTATCGTTGTCTGAATTTCTATTTCATTAACTTACTTGCAACCCAAGTTACAACAAAAGAAACTTACAAGTGATTAATAATGAATGTCATTCAGTAGTGGCATATTACCACTACATTCAAATTGTCGTATTTATTTATTTTTATAACTAAAGTGTCAAATTCTATATATATATATTAATGTTCTATTCTATGTTAGTATATTACATTTCGTAATGTTAATTGGAGAGGGAAAGGGAGAGGGAGAGCGAGAGGAAAGGAAAATGGAGAGGGAGAGGGAGAATGAATTGTAAAACTACATTTTCATTCTAATGTTCTCACATAGAATAGACCAACATATTATATTTTAGTTTAAATTGTTCATTTTCTCTAAAGATAATAGATAAGAATATAAAGACGTAATAGAATATGTGATTTGAATTATCAAAATATTAATCACTAGAATGTCTCTCTCATATTATATAACTTAACAAAAACACTTTAAAAAACATATTAACATATTTTCATATATGAACGTAAAATTACTTTTACATATCACATATGTCGTCAGTTAGTTATCTTTTATTAATTAACATAAACAATAACCATAAATTTACAAATGGATGTTATGTAAGTTGAAATTGATAAAAATCAAATCACTAACCATTCAAATTGTCGTATTTATTTACTTTTATAACTAAAGTGTCAAATTTTATGAATATGGCAAAATGAAAATAGTATATGAGAGCCGAAATAAGATGTTTTACTACATTCTTTACTAAAAATATAATTAAACAGAAAATTAATTAAATAGTAATAGTTAAATATTGATTATGAAATATAATATTTTGATAATAACTGAAAATACATTAGTTACATATTGATATTTTAGAACCGGGTTTAAAGTTGACTAGTTTTACCGGTTTTCCTGCTTTTCTCAAATTCATGTGATAAACTGAATCAAACTCAGTTTCTACAACGAATCACAATCGGACCTGTTTTCAAAACACACACTACGTCTCATCTGATCAGTGATATAAACAAAAACTTCAAGATTTATTGAACAGAGTAAGATAATATAGATGGTTATTGAAAAATTAATTGTATGAGATAACAAAGGTCACAAATTTTGGTTGTTTCTCTGGGGATTTACCACAACATTAAAAACTAGTTGCTGTACAGATGATGATACACGACCTGGAAGTCGGTGGGAGCTTTATATTAGCACGATTTACTTACAGAGAGGATCATCCACACTCACTTCCTTCCCAACCTAACCAAATGGGCCTCGTGCTTTGCCGCTGAAGCTACTTCAGCTGCTTTGTTAGCAGCTTCCCGCTTCATCGCCCTCTTTGCACGTCTTCCCGTTGTGTTTGTAGTCTTCACCTGCTTATCCTTAGGCTCACATGACGATGACCCAGAGCTGGAACTAGAACTAGAACCAGAACCAGAACCACTGTGTTTCTTAACCGGCCTAGCTTCCTGACGCCCTGATCTGACAAAACCATTGTCACCCCATCTCCTATTCCCTATCCGAAGACCTGACCCGTGCAAATAAAACTCGTCAAGGTCATCATCTTCATCCTCGTAGTCACAAGGAACGTCGAAATCATCATGGTAGCCATAGCTGCTGTATGACGCCTGTTCCACCATCACATCCAACGGTATAAACCATGAGGCTCTCAGGAGAAGGCACACACTCTCCTCAAACAAAAAATCCTCAATGCTGCATAAAACACACAAAAAAACAGAGATTTTAGTTAAAAGGCACAGAAAAATCCAAACTATATGGTAATTCACAACATGTAGACAAACACAAATCACCTGCCATCAAGAGTCCGGTGGACACTGAGGAAATCAAATGGATGCTTACATTGCGGACATGTAGGACTCTCTTTGCAACTCGCCCAACGAAGTATGCATGTCACACTGAATCAAATAGAAATGAAACAAAAAATCATTTTTAAGACTTTTTAATTAGTGAAAACATAAAATGAAACCAAACCAGATGTAATCATCTCAAAGACTTTAGAATTGAATACCAGTAAGTATGTTCACAGCCTTTCACCATGGCAGTCTCTTGAAGAGGAATTTCATTCAAGCAAATTGCACAACAGCCACCATGGTGTCCGAAATTGAGCTCATGGATCTTCTCTTTGCCCTAAGGTTCAGATAAAAAAGACATAAAAGATGGATTTCACTAGCAAATTCACTCCACACTGAAAAAAGCACTAAAAGGTGTAAACTTTAGCAAACCCTAAACGCCCAAATTCGAAATTAAACACACATCAATGCACAAAACTAAAAGGTATATATTTTTTAAAGACGGATGTGAACCAGCTCTAACTCCGAAACAAGAAGCTATAAAAGTAAAAACTGATCTCAGATTAGGGTAACAAATTAAAAAAACCTGATCTTGAAGAGTCATGTCTTGAATAGCTTCGACTACTTGCTGCTCATCCACGATCGAGGTAACAGAGCTCATGGCGGTGGAAATAAATAGATTGGGTAGTAAAAAGAAAGATTTTTTTTCCCTGAAGCAATTGGTGACGAAGAAGGAGAAGAGAAGCCTCTTATCTTAGGAAGGGGGGGGGGAAGTGGTGGGTCAGAGATCCGAATCGAGAAACGGAGATGCGACGAGAATGATTCCGATACCCCCAAAAGAAAAATAAAAACAAAGCAAACGAGATAACAAAAAAAAAACAAGCAAGTCAGTCCCTCTTTCTCATCCAGAAGGTTTAATAACCATTAATTTGAACCGAGCTAAACCGAATGTAATTAAATCAAACCGAACTGCGACGAGAATGATTCCGATACCCCCGACAAAAAAAACCAAAGCAAACGAGATAACAATAAAACAAGCAAGCCAATCCCTCTTTCTCATCCAGAAGGTTTAATAACCATTGAACCGAACTAAACCGACTTTAATTAAATCGAACCGAACTAAACCGACTGTAATTAAATCGAACCGAAGTGCGACGAGAATGATTTTGATACCCCCAAAAGAAAAAAAAAAACAAAGCAAACGAGATAACAAAAAAAACAAGCAAGTCAGCCCCTCTTTCTCATCCAGAAGGTTTAATAACTTAGATTTGAACCGAACTAAACCGAATATAATTAAATCGAACCGAATCGAACCGAATCCGTAATTGACGATGATGGTAAAGCAGAAAAATAAAGTATACTATTTCTCTAGTCAGAGTCTGCCTTTTGGTCTCTCTCTCTCTCTCTCTCGCTCGCTCGCTATAAACTGGGATCAATGATGGCATGTCTCTAGATTCTCTCTGCTTCACGCGTATCCTCCCTCCCCCACACCACAGAGTTCATCATTATCCACCATCCACACACACACACATTTGCCTTATATACTTTCTGATTCGAGCGGCGCCACTGTTCCGGATTTCGATTTCGAATCTCTTCGAGCTGAATTCGAAGCTAATCCGCTTTAAAAATCCAATTCCAGATCGTCGATTCATAGCTATGCGGAGAAGATTCCGTGATTTCACGACGACATCTTCCGATTCATCACATTCCGTCATCAGCTCGAGTAGTGTGATTTGCTTCTGAGGAAACGTTTTTTTTTTTTCGGAGGTTTATGTCGAGGAACGCACGAATGACTTCGGATCTTAGCAGACCCGGTCCAGTTGCCAGGGATATCGAGCAGGTTGTGTTGCTATTATAGTCAATCTAGGTCTTCTTATGATTCAATTGCTATAATTAGGTTTTCAAGTCTTCTAGTGGGATTCTGTTTAGGTCTTATTGAAGTTAGACATTCGAATTCTAGGTTAGTGGTGACTCCAAGCTATATATATAATGCACTTCTGGAGTTTTATATTTCATTAGTTATTTAGCTGTATTGTTAGAGTTCTATCAGGTGAAATCTTATCTCATTGTTTAGGTTTTTTTTGGTAGTTTTTTTTAGTGTGTGTACGTTCCGTTGCTTCTTTCTCTTTGTTAATGTTTTATTTATATATAATTGTTTGTAAGCTGAAATCAACCGTATCCAATATGTTCTACTTTTATTTATTTTTACGGGTTTTGTTATATTGATTTTGGCTCAGGCTATCACTGCTCTGAAGAAAGGAGCTTATTTGCTCAAGTATGGGAGAAGGGGAAAGCCTAAGTTCTGTCCATTTCGACTTTCTAATGTAAGTCGTCTTGATTCTATGTAAGAATTTTCGGCGACTAACTTTTCGTTCTTTTTTTTATATATATGGATTCTTTATGAGCCTATGTAGTTCTTTTGATTTAGTTATATTGCCTCTATGATGATTGATGTGTTTGGGGGTTTTGTTGTTCTGTGTCTTAATATATAGTTTGGGCTTTGATTTTCAGGATGAATCTGTTTTGATATGGTTCTCGGGGAACGAAGAGAAACATTTGAAGCTTAGCCATGTTTCTAGGATTATATCTGGGCAGCGCACGGTAAGTTTTGACATCCGTGGAGCTCTTCCTTATACTGGCAATAAACTGTTCAAAATATGTTTCGTGCCACAAGTACTAGTTATTTCATTGCGTTTGTTTATTCGGTTCGATCTCTATTTCTGCCGTGTATGAGTATCTTCTTCTGGCTGTCTCTGACCACTACCGACATTTTTGTGAGGCGGATTGTCCTCCTAATGTGATCTGAATTGTTGTTCATGATTGTCCTAAGTGCATGTTATGCTCAATGCCCTTTTATTAGTGTCGTTTCTTCAACATAAACTCAAATGAATACTTGGTGCTTATGCTACACTTATTGGGTTCATCATTTTTTCATTTTACTTTACCAAGGCAGGTCGGTCTTCATTTGACCTTGCATCTTTAATGCATCACTTGCATGACCCAAATTCCGTGTCGTATGTTTCGTATTTGGACCTTGCATATCTAGTGTGTTATTCTGATAAGTCTTGCAATGGTGTTTCTCTTGCAGCCTATTTTTCAGAGATATCCACGTCCCGAGAAAGAATATCAATCGTTCTCGCTAATATACGACGAGAGGTCGCTGGATGTGGTGAGCTTTTTCTTATAGTATATTCTTTTTCTAGTCTATGAATCATTAATATTCTATCATTAAAATAAATGTCTGTTGTTATTGAAAGTTCAATAAGTAGGTGTTAAAATTTTACTTTATAGATATGCAAGGATAAAGATGAGGCTGAAGTGTGGTTTAGTGGTTTAAAAGCCTTAGTATCTCGTTGTCATCAACGGAGATGGAGAACTGAATCAAGAAGTGATGGAACTCCATCCGAAGCAACCAGTCCAAGGACATATACCCGGAGAAGCTCCCCTTTACATTCTCCATTTAGCAGCAATGAAAGTTTCCAGAAGGTACTAGAACGAGAAATTCCATATCATTTTGTATTCCATTTCAGTTTGTGCATGTCGTAACTGAGGTAATCTTTTGTTACCTGTCAGGATGGTTCTAATCACCATCGTCTTCAGAGTCCATATGGGAGCCCGCCTAAGAATGGCATTGATAAGGCATTTTCAGACATGTCGTTGTATGCACTTCCTCCAAAAGGTTTTTTCCCCTCAGATCCAGCTACTATTTCAGTTCACTCTTTGTCATCTGGAGCCTCCGATTCCATACATGGTCATATGAAAGGTATGAGTATGGATGCTTTTAGAGTTAGTCTGTCAAGTGCTATTAGTTCTTCGAGCCATGGTTCTGGTCATGATGATGGAGATGCGTTGGGAGACGTTTTTATTTGGGGAGAAGGAATAGGTGAAGGTATCTTGGGTGGTGGAACCCATAGAGTTGGAAGTTCGTTTGAGATCAAAATGGACTCCTTTGTGCCAAAAGCCTTAGAATCTACTGTGGTACTTGATGTCCAGAATATTGCTTGTGGTGGACAGCATGCTGTCCTTGTCACAAAACAAGGAGAAACTTTTTCTTGGGGAGAGGAATCTGAGGGTAGGCTTGGCCATGGTGTAGATTCTAATGTTCAACATCCAAAGCTTATTGATGCACTCAATACCACAAATATTGAGCTTGTAGCATGTGGCGAATACCATAGCTGTGCAGTATCTCTATCGGGGGATTTGTATACCTGGGGTAAAGGAGATTTTGGTATTCTGGGACATGGTAATGAAGTCAGTCACTGGATCCCGAAAAGAGTGAACTTTCTTATGGAAGGGATACATGTATCATCCATCGCTTGTGGACCTTACCACACAGCTGTTGTGACTTCTGCTGGGCAGTTGTTCACTTTTGGTGACGGGACCTTTGGTGTTTTGGGACATGGAGACAAGAAAAGTGTTTTCACACCCAGAGAGGTAGACTCCTTGAAAGGTCTTCGCACTGTCCGGGCAGCCTGTGGTGTATGGCACACAGCCGCAGTTGTAGAAGTAATGGTTGGAAGCTCGAGTTCTAGTAACTGCTCCTCAGGAAAGCTCTTTACATGGGGTGATGGTGACAAGGGACGTCTTGGGCACGGTGACAAAGAACCAAAACTTGTGCCTACCTGTGTTGCAGCTCTTGTAGAACCTAATTTTTGTCAAGTGGCGTGTGGACATAGCCTAACAGTTGCACTAACAACATCGGGAGATGTCTATACTATGGGTAGTCCTGTTTATGGTCAGCTCGGAAACCCACATGCTGATGGGAAGGTACCAGCTCGTGTTGAAGGTAAACTTCACAAGAGTTTTGTCGAAGAAATTGCTTGCGGTGCTTATCATGTCGCAGTTTTGACTTCAAAGACTGAGGTTTACACTTGGGGAAAAGGATCAAATGGTAGACTTGGCCATGGGGATGTAGATGATAGAAATTCACCAACATTGGTTGAGTCGCTTAGGGATAAACAGGTGAAAAGTATTGCATGTGGTTCTAACTTTACGGCAGCTGTCTGCCTGCACAAGTGGGCATCAGGGATGGACCAGTCCATGTGTTCAGGTTGCCGTCAGCCTTTTAATTTTAAGAGAAAGCGGCACAATTGCTACAACTGTGGACTTGTGTTCTGCCACTCTTGCAGTAGTAAAAAATCCCTGAAGGCGTGTATGGCACCCAACCAGAACAAACCATATCGAGTGTGTGACAAGTGTTTTAACAAATTGAAAAAGGCCATGGAAACTGACGCATCATCTCATTCTTCTTTGAATCGAAGAGAAAGTGTCAACCAGGGATCAGATGCAGTTGACAGAGATGAGAAGTTGGATTCTAGATCTGATGGACAGTTAACTAGATTCTCATTGTTGGAGCCCATGAGACAAGCAGACAGTAGAACCAAAAAGAATAAGAAATACGAGTTTAATAGTAGTCGTGTCTCACCAGTACCAGGCTCTCACCGGGGTTCACTAAACATAACCAAGTCTTTCAATCCAACTTTTGGAGTATCAAAGAAATTCTTCTCAGCGTCTGTTCCAGGTTCCCGAATTGCGTCTCGTGCAACGTCGCCAATTTCAAGACGTCCAAGCCCACCTCGCTCAACAACGCCAACCCCGACTCTTTCAGGGTTGATTACACCGAAATTTGTCGTGGATGACACCAAGAGAACCAATGATAACGTAAGCCAGGAGGTGCTTATGCTAAGATCTCAAGTAAGCTGCCTTCCATGCTCTAATTCTTGTTCCTCATACCGTACACACTTTCATGCCTTACACATATAGGAAGAAAACTTAGTTTGTGGGATCATGCTGTTGTCTTCCATTATCCGGTTCTGTTTCTAGATTATATTCTGAATTTCACTCAGTTAAACGATATAGATCTTTTGCTAAATGGAACCATTTATCTCTTGTTCGTTACTGTTTGATGCTTTTGCTAATTCACTAGTAAACGATTATTATAGGTTGAAAATCTCACACGGAAGGCACAGCTTCAAGAAGTTGAGCTGGAAAGAACAACCAAACAGCTAAAGGAGGCACTGGCAATTGCTAGCGAAGAAACAGCAAGATGCAAGGCAGCGAAAGAAGTGATTAAATCACTTACCGCTCAGGTAAACTTTTTCCTCTGTGCTTTTTAAGTGAATGAAAAAAAGAAATGCTGTATGCAATCTATTGATTTGTTACAACGAAACCATGCAGTTGAAAGATATGGCTGAAAGATTACCTGTTGGATCAGCTCGGACTATCAAGTCTCCTTCTCACACTTCGTTTGGTTCCAGTCCTGATTACATTGCCCCCACTTCTAACTCCTTAAACCGCCCAAACAGTCGAGGAAGTGATCCTGATGGCGTAAACACCATCCCAATGTTTGCTAACGGGACCAGCACGCCTGTTTTCGATGGTGCAAGCTACCGACAGCAAGCGAATCATGCTGCTGAATCGATAAATAGAATCGGCACACGAGCAAAAGAAAGTGAACCTCGTAATGAAAATGAATGGGTTGAACAGGATGAACCTGGTGTATACATCACTCTCACAGCCTTACCTGGAGGTGCGAGGGATCTCAAACGCGTCCGTTTCAGGTATATAATTATTTTCTTCTTTATAAAACTTGAGGCTTAGTTGGTGATGAAATGAACATGATCTGAGGATGATTTGGTTATGGCAGTCGAAAGCGGTTTAGTGAGAAACAAGCAGAAGAGTGGTGGGCAGAGAACAGAGGACGAGTATACGAACAATACAACGTACGCCTAGTCGTTGACAAATCTAGTGTGGGTGTAGGAAGTGAAGACTTGGCTCATTGATATTGTTTGTTATACACTTATCATTTTTCTTAACACGAGTTTCCATAGGTTTATTGGGGTTATAACAAAACAAAAGTGAGATTAGGAGTTGATTCCACCATCTTCTTTCATTATAGTTTCGGGTGTTTGTCTCTTTGTAAATTCATTTGTAAATTCTATAAGCACACGTTCGTTGTCTTTGTCTCCAATGCTATCATTAAGTGTTGAACCTAAAACAACACTAATGATATACAGCAGATTGTTAAGATGTGATTTGTTCCACAAAGTTTTGTGATTAATCCGCGAATTACCAAAAGTAGAGACCCTAATCAGTAAAAAATCATGGGGCCCACCACATTCACACACTTAAGTAGTGGTGACCTCTCTCTCTCACACGCTTGAAACTCTTTTATTAGACCCAAAAATGTTTAGAGTAACCGGAAATCTCTCGGCGGTATCATCTCCGGCGGCTGCATCTTTCTCCGCCGCACTGAGACTCTCCATTTCCCACACTCTCGCCCTCGCATCTCCTCCTTCCCATCCCCGCCGTATCTCGACGTTTTCTCGTTCACTTTTAGGCAGACACATCTCTTCACTCCGAGTCAGACCACGCGTTCCGTCCATGAACCCGATTAAGCTCTCTGGCTTCTCTGCTCTCACAGCGAGAGGTATATTATCTGTTTCTCTCCCCTTACTTACTTGCTGTATGAAAGACTTTATCTTTTATTGTTTTTATTCCAGCTTCGTTTAGCAGTGGCAGTAGTAGTCCAAGCAGAGAGATTCTGGTGCAGCATGTGCTTGTTAAGGAGGGTGACTCTGAGCTCTTTGCTGAACTCCAGAAGCGAATCTTGGATGGTTTGTACTCCTTAAAATTTCTTTTCACTCTTTTGATATTTTACATTTAAGCTTTTGTTTGAACATCATTACATAATCTTTTCAAACTGATTGTTGTCTTTCCGACAACCTTGTTTCTTTGTCGGAATGTAGACTAACTTGTCTCACAGTGTTGTTATCTTTATCTAATTTTTTTCTTTTTTTGTGGAATTTTTATCACTGTAGTCAATTGCAGATTGCTTGACTGTCACTTTATTTTGTTTGAGTTCGAAGATTAGGGGTGTGTCCTGACTTTTTTAAGTAATTGTTTGTTGTGAAGGAGAGGATATGAGTGATCTTGCAGCTGAGTACTCCATTTGTCCATCTAAAAAGGAGGGTGGTATACTTGGATGGGTCAAAATGGGTCAAATGGTATGCTCTCTTGTCTATAGCTTTGTCCGTTTCTATTGGTTGTGAGATTGGTATTGATATTGCATTCACCCTTCAGATCTATAGCCTATAGGACCCCTCGTTGTTACATAAGCAATTGGATGATGTTATGGTTGCTGGTGGATTATATTTTAGTGTTGACATCAGTGTGCAAAAATGGAACTAACAGTACTAAGTAGTAGAATGTAACTGATGATAGAAGTAATTCCACAATGTTTGAACAGAACTTTGGCAAGTTCCTGCTGGAATAAGAGAATGATAAACCACTTTAAAATTGTTTTCAGGTACCAGAATTTGAGGAAGCTGCGTTTAAGGCAGAGCCGAATCATGTGGTCAGGTGTAAAACTCAGTTTGGCTGGCATTTACTGCAAGTTCTATCTGAGAGGTAATTCTTTTTAAAAGCCATCCTCCGTTTTCTGTTGAATGTGTCGTATATTGTTTAATGGAAAAGGGTTATATTGACAGGGAACCTGTGAAAGACATCCAGGTGGAGGAGCTGCATTCCAAAATGCAAGATCCAGTTTTCATGGACGAGGCTCAGTTGATTGATGTCAGAGAACCTGACGAGATGTAAGTTCCTTTCATTTCCTTTTGCTGAATATTAATGGTTTCGCTTCATACTCTCTAAATATAATACAGAATTAGGCTTTGCAGAGTTTGATTCTTCTGCATTTTAGATACATGTGTGCCTCCTTGATCTTAGAAGAAGGACAAAGCATCCATAGTGGTTTCACATCGTTTTTTTTTTATGTTTTGTTTTACCACTTGTACCAGAGCCACAGCATCCTTGCCAGGATTTAAAGTGTTCCCGCTCCGCCAATTCGGAACTTGGGCACCAGACATCACTTCAAAGCTGAACCCTGAGAAGGATACTTACGTCCTGGTATGTTCAGTCTCATCCGCTAATACATATGATATAAGCTTTGAAAAAGTTCAGTGGCTCAACCCTTAAATGTACGTCTATATCGTATCTAGAGCTGTTAGGAGTTGGTTAGAGAGTCGTTAGTGAGGGATGGGTTTTAAAAGGTTGTCCTGGCAAATTATTTTGGGTGTGGACTTTATAGGAATTTGGGCATTTGGTTGAGAGCCTCTCATAATCAAAGTCTCTCTATGTGATCTAAAGATCTTAAGGTCACTTGAACATCTCTCCATGGACTAAAAGCTTTCAAATACCCATCTTACTGTGATCTAATGATTTTAAGGTCACTTACTGTGATCTAATGATTTGAGTCGCTGCCTTTCTTTTGCATACAGTGTAAGGTTGGTGGCAGGTCGTTGCAAGTTGCGAACTGGCTGCAGTCTCAGGTAAAGAAAAAAAGATTTTCCGTTCCTAATACTGGTTTGTTGACATCCTGATGTGTGTTGTCTTTGTTCCTCAGGGCTTCAAGAGTGTGTACAATGTGGCTGGTGGAATACAAGCCTATTCTCTCAAGGTTGACCCATCAATTCCTACTTACTGAAACTGCCCCATCAGAGATTCTGGAGAATCTTATACAATTTGCTCTATTGAGAAAAATTCTTGTACCGTAATCCAAATAATTGCAAATCGTATTCAGAGAAACATTTGACCATCTTGGAATCATTTTGCATTACTGTTTCATTTCTAAAATTACCTATTTTTGATAAAACTTGAATCCCATTGAAACTGATAACCAAAGCCATGACTAGCGTAAAAGCTTACAAGAGTAATGCGAGAGAATCACTTAATAACAGTAAAGAACATCACGGTTTCCAGAAAGTTAAAAGATTCATGATTTAGCATTGTAACTACGATCCTAATTGTACATTACATATAAAAAAAAGAAGTCCCAAACATGCAAAACAATCAAACCCGTCCATACTCTTCTCTTCGCGATCATTTACCCAATCGTGATGAGAGTGCTGAGGTACGCTGCCACAATAGCCGTCCTAATATTGCATTTGCATGAACCGAAAGGGAAACTGCATTTAACCTACAAGTGCAAATAGGAACAATGAATAAGGCATTCAACTAGCCACCCACCCAAGTAGAAACGTGTAAGAAAGTAAGAGGAAATTTACTTTTCTACATCAGGAGTGGCCATAGGATCATACAGCTCTTGTTCTGCTCCTGTAACTCCAACAGCCGCAGAGTTTGTAACTTCTTGTGTAGCCTCTCCCTGAAAAAATTTCGACCATGAAGAACAAGAAGTATCCACATATTGCAATAAACAAATGATTTTTTTAACTTTCCGTTCTTTACCTGCTGCGGATACTGTTGATAGCCGTATCCACCATATGCATACACGGATGGGTCTTGAGCTGCCCCATAAGCATATGCGTCATAGCCTTGTCCGTAACCATAATACCCATTCCATTGACTTGGATCTGCTTGTGTAACGTAACCATCCTATAACAAATATCAAAGAACATCAAAGACATTCAGTGAAGTAGCGAGCAATATGAGGCTCTACATCATATAAGTTATAACGAAAGTTTTCACCTGTCCTGGATTTTTACTCCAGGAGATGCGAACTGCTTGTTGACCAATCACATGTCCCTGCATATTTTGAATGGCTTCTTCAGCAGAAGGCCTGGGGATCAACAAGGGGCAGAAGTAAAAGAAATTAGTTAATAGAGCTAGAAATAAGTATACATGAACATGGAAGCAGCCACATGTGAACTCTGAGTTTTACTGGATGGTTTACCTTGTTTTGAATTGAACATAACCGTAACCCTTTGTTGCAGGTATGTTAACATAAATAATCTCCCCTAACGGTGAGAATGCTTTCTTCAGCTCTTCCTCTGTAACATTTGGGTCCAAAGTCGAAATCAAAACCTGTACATCACAACCAATGCATGAATTAAAGCAGGAAAATTTTCAAGAAGAAAGACCAACCTTTTCATCAGATAAAACTTACCGTCGTACAGGTGATGTCATTTTCAGGTGCAAGCACCTGTACTGGTTGAGCAACGTACGCTGGAGCAGCAACAGCAGATGGGACTGGTACTGGAACCGGGTAAGCAGCTAAAAAGAGAGAGCTCCTAATTAACCAAATGACTTCCAAAAAGATGAACCAAAAACAGGATTCTTTTTATGTATTTTGTTATCATACCTTTAGCGACATATTGTTGCTGCACACCAACAGTTTTTCTAGGCGTTGCTACGCTGATACGCATAGGCCTTGTTGAGCAATACAAACCATTCATTTCCGACATAGCCTTGTTCCTTTCATTTTCGTCTGCGAATTTGACAAACCCGTAACCTTTTGACCGTCCAGTACTTGGATCAGTAACAACCTTGGCACCTCTAACAGAAGAATAGTGAACACGGAATGTCTCATGAAGGAGATAATCAGTAACATCTGGGGCTAAGTCTCCAACAAAGATAGAATGATCAGGTCCAGCATCTACTTTCTGGCCTGAACCAAAGGAAGCCCAATTTAAACGGAAAGCTACTTCCGTTCCAGGCATCAGTGTCCCATTATACGTCTGAAGCGTTCTCTCTGCTGCTGCGTGAGATACAAACTCAATGAAACCGTACCCTTCTGGCTGGCCAGTGATCTTGTTACGTATCACCTTCACAGAAACGAGCTGCACATATATTGGAAACACAGATCATTATCATGTTGATTCAATTATCCTTCCACACTAAAAATTTAGGAGCATATCTATAAACTGTGAACATCAAACATGGTGAGAGCCTTTAAACCATATTAAAAGACTCAGACTTTCAATGAAGGGTGAATAATAGACAGTTTCATAGACCGCACCAGGGTATCTATACAACACTTAACATCTTCGAAACCAAAGTAATCTACTGTTTATATTCCTAAACGGCAAAGAAAGCCTATCAATTGCAAACATGTGGATGTAAAGATCATTCAAATGTTGATTGACTCGAATGTTCTTCCACACTTTTTAAAAATTTAGGAGCATACTTATAAACTAAGAACATCAAACATGGTGAAAACCTTTAAACCATACTGAAAGACTCAGACTTTCAATGAAGGGTAAGCATTAGAACATTCCCACACTTAACATCCTCAAAACCAAAGTTATCTACTTTACCTATCTCTAAACAGCAAAGAAACCCTAGAAAATTAGAAGCATACGTAGCTATAACAACACGTAGAGACGGAGCTGTAAAGACTCAAACTTTCAATGAAGGGTAAGCAAAAGACCGTTTCATAGAGCGAACCAGATACCTATACAACACTTAACATCCCCAAAAACCAAAGTTATCTACTTTATTTACCCTTTAAACAGCAAAGAAACCCTAGAAAATTAAATTGATACCAAACTCAGAGATGCAACCCGAAGTACAATACGAAGCTACAACAACACGCAGAGAAGGTTACCTCGCCGGTTTGGGAGAAGCAGGAAGAGAGGTAATTCTCGTCGACCCAGTACTGCAAATCTCCAATCCAGAGGGTTCGTACTTCCTCTAGCGTCTGTGGATGGTGATAGCCGCCTTGCTGCTGCGGTGGCATCATCATCGCCATCGTCTCTCTTTTGCTTCCGTTAGTGGGAAAAACGTAATCTAAAAACACACGTTCGCGGTAGAGTGAAGTCGGCGGCGAAATATCCCGGCCGATCTAAGTATTTGATTTTTTGTGGATAAAACTTTCGGATTAATTTTAGTGAATTAACGGGTCGCCCGCACGGGTCACGCTCGTTTTGACTAGACCCGCCTGGAATTGGGCCGAACTCGCGGGTCTTAGCCCAAATTGAAACCAGTAAAAAGTTATTTTTTTTCTGTTACCAATTGGCGCTGTTTCGACGGTGAAAGTAAAAGGGTGAAAACAAGAGTTTGAGACCCTTTTGGTTATTTAGAAGTTGTACAGTAATAGGATTCCGGATTTAGCAGTTGAATTCGTATCCTTCTCATGTAGATTAACCTGGGCTGGATCGAGTCGTTTTTCAGAATGATTCAAACTCGACCATCATTTCATTTTTTTTAATGGATGTTGATAAAAAAAAAAAGGTTGGATTCATATTTTAATTGTGTTTTTATCTTTTTTTTCTTGATTAAAGAAATTGTGTGTTTCAAAAGTTATTTTATTGTAAATATTGTTTGTTTGGATATGATACAAATTAAAATTTGGGAAATTGGACATTATAGCCGCACAAAAACTCATAATTAGCTAAGTAGCCAAAATCATACTCTTTCTCCCCTTCTTTCTTCCTATCTCTCTTTACTCTCTTTCCTAAAAAAAACTAATTTTCTTTTTTTTTTTTCCTAGTTATTTGGCAAATAAACCCTTAAAATTTCATATGATCTAGCCAAGTTTTGTTAACACATTAATAAATAATGATGTAAGCAAATTTGAAAGAAGTTGTAGCTGTAACTATTGTTACCTGAATTTAATTCGCGTTGAAAATAACAATTTATAATGTTTGGATTTCTGGTAAACAGATGAAATTATATTTTTAAGCAATTTTTTAGAAAAGAATAACAGTTTAGACCTACTTTGAGGTAGTCTAACGATGTCAAGTTAACCTGATAAACTTATTACAAAATGGATTGAATGTAGAATATGTCTCCATCAAAGCGAATTAAGAAAAACTAATGAGTATATGTCAACATAAAAATGGTTAAACATAAATTCAGATATCCCCATAATAAATTGCATTTGCATGACAGTACAACAACAGGTCAACATGATTCTAGTTATTTCATATACAAACGTAGAGTAGAAGCTCAACAAACATTAACCACAGGTCCACATATGCATATGCTTGGCTCTAAGTGAATGGATGCATGTGCTTCTTTGCATTGAGAAGCGGTAGGTGATATAAGATTCTAATGTGGTCAAAGTCAAAGCTCCTGATCTATACTTTGTGTCTCTCATACACTACATTCTAAAATATTTGTATGTGTTTAATCATAGATTAATGCATAGCCAATAATGTCTTCATTTAATCATTGTGGTAACTTCATTTAGTTGTTCTTGATGTTTATATATACAAGCAAAGTATAAACTTAATTATTTGCGTCACAACTTGTTTTATACATGTCACGGTTTTTCTTTTCTTTTTTTCGTTAAAAAGGGTATTCTGATTTGTTCAGTTTTATGTTGGGTTTGCTTTCCAGGTAGACGTTACAACTTCTCATATTCTTTTTGAATTATTTGTCTAAACTAGTATTTGATACCAGTGAAACTATAAACAACACAACATATCAGAAGACTCAAACTACTTCCTAATCTAACAAGTATGGCTCGGTTATATAGACATCTCAAAAACTCAAACTACTGCTAACGTCTTGCGTGAATTAAAAGTGAGTTAACATATAACTAGCTAGGGTTGTTTACTGGTTGGTTGAAAGACGTATATATTGAGATCTATGGGGTAGGTTGGAATTTGTACTTAGCATTGCATGGTAACATATCACTGTCTATCTCTCACTCCTCTCAACGTCACCATTTAATACTTGCACTGTTGTAGACAAATTCTTAAGAAAATACAAAAGCATATTGTACTACTTATAAGGGGGCGTAATTAATCATTTGGAGTTAACAATAATAGTAATCTAGTGTTTAATTTGGCAACGAGAATAACTACAATAATCTGCATTCTGCACCATAGTTGCCAATGATATGATCTCGTGTGTTGAGTAGTACCTGTATTCACATGGCAACGACCCGAAGTCCATGTGAGGACATGTGTTCACTGTTTATTTATCTCCACTTTTTCTTCAGTCAAACCCCCTAATCTACAATTTTAAAATTACTTTTCTGATAAAATAACTAAGATCAAATCATGGAAAATCAAACAAATAATGGGTATTATACTAACTCAATGCATCCCAAAAGATGTGAGTAGTATTTTAAATGCATTTGCATGTTCTTTATCATCTAAGAGCACTCCATCAGTGAACCTTGAGATTAAGGTTTAAAACCTTTTTTTTTCGTTTTTATTTATTGTTTTTTATTAAGAAAAAATATTGGCTAATCGTGGGTCGCCACGTGTCCTGGGGCTCGCAGAACAGTGGTGATACAGGTTCACCAGAGAATCTCAATGCCACAGGTTCATCAATTATATTATATTTTAATTTTTTTTTGGTTTCCGTGAGAGACACCCCATGAACCTTCAATGAGGGTATTCTAAGGGCAACATTATCGATATTCCCTTAACGTTGTCCCTTAGCGAAAAAGTCTTTTAGCTTTTATCTAAAAAAGCTAAGGGATTTTTCTGCTAATGGAGCATCGATAATGTTGCTCTAATATCTTCCGTAGGTTCTTCTTCTTACAACTATGTAACTTGTCTGCTTCTTCTGTTTGTCCATGTGGTCTTACCTCTCTCTCTATCCCTCTTTGTATATATTATTCCTCATCATTACTTTCTGAATCTTCACTTCTCTCTCCCTCTCTCTCTCAAAGTCCGTTACGTTTGAACGATCATGGTATCAGCGGGGACGGCGACAATGACGGATGCTAATATGGTTTTCATGATGGAGGAGGCGCCACCGTCGGGACCTCGCATTTCCTTCTCCGCTGATCTGTCATCATCAGACAGCGAAGGAGATTACATCTCCATCAACCCAAAGAATCTCTTACCTAGAAGACAAGAACAAGAAAAAGACAAGAACTCATCGAAAGCAGGAGACTTTGAGTTTCTGTCGAATACCCAAACAATGCTAACCGCTGACGAGTTGTTCTCCGAAGGAAAGTTCCTTCCTTTCCGACAAGTCAAACATTCAGAGAAGCTTCAAAACGTTACCTTGAAAACAAAACAAGAAGAAGAAGAACGTAAAGAGGAGAAGGAGCAGGAGAATAACAACAACAGAGGAAGCTGGTTTCTTGACGACGACCCATCTCCTCGTCCACCAAAATGCACTGTGCTATGGAAAGAGCTTTTACGGCTAAAGAAACAGAGGAGCAACACCAAGGCATCGTCTCTCTCACCGTCTTCTTCTTCAAGCTCGACTTCCTCTTCTTCTAGCTCTATTGGGGACGCGGTGAAGAAGGAGGAGAAAGAGAAGGAAGGGAAGAGAGGTAAGAAAGGGTTAGAGAGGACGAGATCATTGAGTATGAGGATAAGACCGATGATTCATGTTCCTGTTTGTACACCACCGTGTAAGCCTCCTTTGTTTCCTCTTAGGCTTCAGAAAAACAGAGTGGAGAGACGAAGTTGAATTATGAAAATTGTTTTTTGTTTATTTGGATTTGTATTGTTATTAGATGGATTGTGTTTTTGTTGAGCTTTTTGTGATTTAGATCTGATGTGTGACATTTGTATAAATATTGAATACACCAATTTCTATGCTTGTGGTTTGAAAGTCTTTTTTTTTGTTGTATCTCTGTCTGTATCTAAAGCCAACGATCAAATCTTTTGTGTTAAGACTTTTGAGGGATGGTTATTAGATTTAAGGGTTTGAGATTTGAGAAAGTGAGAGAGGCAAAAGAGTTAAATGCCAAAACTAAAGGGAAAGAGCAAGAAAGCAAGAGTAGAGTGATGTGTGCACATGCCAGTTTCAGATGTTTTGTTGTTATTTAGATCCTTTTCTCTCAAGCAAGAATCCACCAAGTGACTCTGCTCAATGTTTATATGACATGGTCCACTCTTCTGAAACTCTAGCCTCACGTTTTAAACCCAAAACCAAACTAATCCATATATATTTGGAAAACATTGGAAGCATGTACAATCTCTCAGAACCGTTCCATGCGTTGTCGCCGAGGCAAGCTTGTATCTTGTTCATCCTGTAGCATTTCGATAAACTGCGTTCAATGCATGGGTAATATAATATAAACTACCTCTCACTCACTCAATTGAACATTAATCTAAAACATATTGAATGCAAAATGCAGGCAGAACCAGCTGGTACAGCGAACAATACCAGAGATAAGAGAGTACTTCTGTAGAGCTCTAACAAAGTCTACTACAAACCTGCAAAGCCTGAGGCTGTAGAATGTGGAGGAAGAAGAAATTGGAATACATTGATATGAACAACAACTGCATAACAAGAGACAGAGCACTAGCCATGGTTCATGTTGTTATCAATAAATAAACTTTCAAGCTGTTGAACATCAACGGGAATATTATCAGAAGAAGGCATTGATGAAGTAAAAGAGATATATATTCAAAAAATCCCCAAAAAAATATATCACTGAAGCAATGCTACTGAAGAAAAAAGGAACCCAAAAAAATGCATTTGATTAGATAAAAAGCTTATCTTAATGTATTAATAAATTGAGAAAACAAAGGAAAGAACTTCGAATATCCAAAACAGAGTTGCAGAAATCAAAACCTCAAATTTCAATTCCACACAACAACAAAACCAAAAGAAGAATCACTCACTCACACACACCAACAACATCAGATCCTCCTAACCCTCCTTGTAGTAGTAGTAACACTCTTCATCGCACTCACATCAACATTCATAGGAATCGAAGGCTTCTTGTTCTCCTTCTTCATACTCCTCAGAGAATACCTCGGCACCGTCGTCTCAACCTTCTTCTTAACCGTTCCTCTTCTCTTAGTCGTCACAGGCTCAACACCAAGACCGTAAGGAGTTCCTTTCACAACAGAATCCTCTCCTCCTCCTTTCTTCCTCCTCAGCCTCTCGTTCCTGCGTGCTGAATACTCATCGTATAACCTCCCTCTTTCGAACACGGGAGCCACCTCCGAGTTCGCAGCCATGTTCTGCAGACTCGAAGCTCTTGATTTCACTTCTTCTTGAGCGAACTCTTTCTCCACCATCTTCGCTAACGCGTGTATCTCGGTAGAGATCGACGAGTAATCAATCGGGATATTCGGATCCGGATGATCCGCCATGTTCCGGAACTTGGACAGACCTGGAGGTGTTTGGAGAGTGGATAGTGATGAAGAGGAGTTGGTGGAGAGGAGGACTTGGCGTGATCGGAGACGGAGGGGAGATTTTGGAAGTGGTGGTTTCAGGTAAGAAGTTCTCATCCTCGACATGTCTTTCTTTCTTCTCGGAACTTTTTGTTTGGGACACAAAGAGATTCAAAGAGACAGAGAAGTGAAGAGATTTTGTCTGATTTATTATCGTTTTTGGAGGAGCGGCCTCTTCTAACGGTTATATTTGTTTTGATCCGACGGCTAAGATTGCTTCAAATTCAAAACTGGCAAGATTTTTTTTTTTTTAAAGAATGTGGAATAATGTTTGAAGCGTTTTTAAAACAGTAAGCATTTAATTAGATTACTTACCTTACTGGGAGGATTCGCCTTTAAATTAATGATAAGATTTAGGAATGTTAAATATGGTTTAACAACAAGACTAGAGGGTAGTAGACAAAACTTCTTTTGACTTGTGAATGAATCTGTTGAAGAGAAATTAAAGATGCATTTTGAAATTAACTAGAGCTGACATTTCTGTTAAATCTTACTTATTGAGAGGTTAAGAGTCTTTGATGTTATCCACATTTTCTTTCTTGGACCGTTTGACTCAGCTGGTACTAATTCAATGTTTTTGAACCCGATCCGGACACCTTGCCGGGTCACCGGGTTACTGGGTCAACCATGGATGAACCATGGGTCAATACTTTAATTAATTTTAATTAATAATTATATATTAACTATTAAAAATATAGAAGAAATCTCACATTTCTTAAAAACATAGAAAATATTTAAATTTTTTATTTTTTATTTTTTTATTTCACATATAAAATATTTAAAATTAGAATATACTATTTAACAATCTTTTATAAGAAATTAGGAGTTGAGACATATAGTAAATCATAATAAGACTTAAATCTCATAAGTTTTAGATATTTATCATTATTCAATATATTTTCCTTAATATACATAATGCAATATTCATCAAACTCAATAAATGGTTTAGTCAATATTATATATGATTTTTCAAAATTAAATAAGATCTATAAATTTGATTAACAAAAACACTACTTATTTATAAACATGTGAAATTAAGAAAATAAAATAAAAGCATGTGATTAGAATAAAAATAAATTTTATATGATAAAAGTTAGAACCTAGAAATTAAAATCAAATGTTATTTACCACATACGAAAGCAAAAAAAAAATTTCAAAGAAAATTGAAGGAGATATAAAATATATGTGATAGCACAAAAAACAATAATTTTATGAGAAAACTAAAAATTAAAAAGTAAAAATCTAACTTCATATTTTGGGTACATAAAAAGTATCTAATAAAATAGTTAAAAACCTAACAAAACTAAATAAAAATAACTCATTAGTTCACCCGATGGTTTAATCGATAGCTGGACCACCGAGTTTAAGGGTTTTTAGTGGATTTTATCGGGTTTTCTATTAGTGGATATTTCTTAAAACCCAAACCGGATTACTTATCGGGTCACCGGGTTTAGCGTCGGACCGCGGATCCGAGTTGGACATGAAAACACTGTACTGATTCTAAGGTGGTAGGTAGCCATTTCATCCCCGGGCCCTGGCTCCTTTACCATTTATACAAAGCCTTTAAAACTCGATGTTTTCCGGTTTGGTTATCATATACTGTTTGTATTATTAAGTCTTGTAGGTAAATAGTTTGACTATCATATACTAAGGTGATAAGTATTGACGAAGGCAGGATAGTATGTTGAGAAGATAACTTGATCCAAGTTTTCTTGACATAGATTACATAAGAAAGTAATTTTGCCTCTAACATTTTCTTCGACGTCCTTATATATATACCCTACAGTTTTAGGCATTAAAAAAAACCATCTTCATCAGTCTAAAATAGAGAAAAATGGTTGACGGAAATAGAGGAGAGGCTCTATTGAAGTTAGAAACGTTGAGAGATCACAGAATTTTCATAATCAGACAAAGGCTTAACGACATCTCTAATATTGTTCAAGCGGGTCTCATGCAAACCATGTTCATTACTGGCCCATTCATAACCATAAGGGAAATCTGGTTCATGAATCATAAAGTGTACGTCTAAGCTTTCTAAATTGGATGGCAGACCAACCTGATCTGGTGTAAGCTCAGAACCCAGATAAAGTGTACCTGAACAATCCTATAATGGATCATGATTAGTGCCGATCCAACCCTTTTAGATAAACAAACTTTTAATTACAATTTTTTTTAATATTCATAATATCATATCATAATATATAAAATATCACAAATGTTTTATAAACTAATTCAACTCCACTAATAATTATTAAAGAAATTTTTATGAAGTTAATTGTATAGTAATATTTGTTAATACTATTAACAATATTTTGACTATAATCAATCTTAATTTACTGAAATCAATTGGTAATACAAAATTTCACATTTAAAAATAATATTTTACATATATTTTACCTAATTTTTACTTATACTTTATATAATTTTACTTATATTTTCTATATTTTTTTACTTATCTTTATATATAAAGAAGAAGAAACTCTCTTCTCCTTAACCCACCTCAGCATATGATGTCACAAAATAGACTCTTTTATATTGTAACATCTGTCCACAAAATTAAACAAAACGGATCAACACATGTTGGGCCTCGGCCTAATGTAAATTTGGTAGCCCATTAGGTTGTTTTTGTTACTGTGACACATAAGTTAATTAGGTTTTCTGAAGCTTATCTCTCTTAGCCGTTGAGTTTTTCTTCCTCCTAGCCGATCAGACGCGATCGAGTCATATTCTCTGATCATCTTAACTCTGTCATTTATCGCTCTTGATGTGATGTTACCTATAAAATGGTGACCTTTTCCGTTCTCGATTTCCATCCCAAAACACTAAATCTCTGTAGAAAATTTCAGCTATGGTTAACATGACGGTTTTTTATCCGATCTCCAGGCCGGACGTTCCTCCTCCACCGTCCAAGTCCGTCTGCTTCGCTACTGGGAAGCCAGGAACTTCCGCCGTGGTGGAGAGCTCATGGGTGTGGACATGCTCCTCTTGGATTCCCAGGTGATGATACACCATGGTGGAGATCTCATGGGAGTCTAGATGCTCCTTCGTGATTCTCAGGTTATCTATTTAGCTCCGCCGTTAGTTTATAGTCTAAATGATTTCTATGGTTAAATTCTATACACATCTCCGTCTCCTTGAATCCTGATTATAATTTTTCCTTTATGTATTTTAAGTTGATTTCTATGGTTAAATTCTATACACATCTCCGCCTCCTTGAATCCTGATTATAATTTTTCCTTTGAGTTTTTTAAGTTTATGTTATAGAATTTTGACTGAGCTATTTCCCAGCTTTTGATGATTGTTATGAATTTTTTTGCGGAGTTTTAAGGTTCTGTTAAACAATTTCACTTAGCAATACTGCACGTTTGATTATTGTTCTGAGTATTTGTTGATGGTTAGCTATTTTCCACTATCGTGAATCCATATTACAAATTTATTTTTAGCGATTTTGTTAATTACTTTTCACTCAGGATTTTTGCAAACTTCGTTGATTTTGTTGCTGATGGTTTCTGTGTTTTATATTGTGATATCCAGGCTTCCACAATGCCGGCAACCATCAGTGTCAACCTGCTGGCGACACACTAGCCTAACCTGAAAGCGGGTTTGGTTTATTCCCTAAAAAGGTTGGATGTTGCTCGGTGTAACCCGAATTATCGTGTATCGGATTCTTCCTTGCTTATCCGTTTTAGCGACTCAACCGAAAAATCTATTTTTTGGTAATTGCTAATCCGTTTTATTTATTCACTTACAATAACAATTGTGTCACCTTTTGGGTTTTGATACATCTTTATTGTCTGCTAAATACTGCGTTGAGATGTCCATGAGGGCCTATGAGGGTATCCATCTCTCGGGATGACCTTCTGACGTCCATTCATTGTCCTGACTACTTATTCATTCAATCACATTGAACCAATTTTTACTCAGGCTGGTGATGGTGTCAACTCGGAGGAAACTGAGGCCCCTCCTTTTGTTACAGACATAGAGGGAAAGACTTACAAGTTCCAAGTGAGAGCAAGTTGATGGAGCTGCTAGGAAGGTGAATAAAGCACGCAAGACATAAGTGAAGCCGACTGAAATTGATGGTGCTGTTTTCCTGCTTTTTTATGAATAAGTTGTTTTGGTTGGTTTTCTTTGTTTCTGTTTTTTTTTTCTTTCTGAACAAGTTTGCGTTTTGTTTTTTGGTACTTCTACATTTTGTTCTTGCTTATCAGTTATAAAATCTATTACATTTCGTAAATTTTTGGTACTATGTTATTTTTTTTCAAAATTGACAACAATCTCTATAATATTATTTGAGAAGTCAGTTTCCTATGTGTCACGCTCACATTAACTATCACGATGATTGATTACAATGATACCCTTAATGAATATATTTAAATAGTATAATTAATTTTATATTTATTTTCCTTTTTAAAACCTTCCAAATAACATTTATAATAAAAAGAAAACATTTCTAAAATTTAAAAGGAAAACTTAAAACGAATATATATGTTTATATAATATGATTTCATTAAAAAGGAAAATTCCCACAATAGTAATATTCTATCAATACAATATTATAAATATATTAATGAGACAAAATCTTATATTTAAATAGTATTATTAATTTTTTATTTAGTTTGCTTTTTAAAAAATTTCCAACTAACATTTATAATAAAAATAAAACATTTATAAAATTTAAAAGAAAAAAGTAAAAACGAAAATATATGTTTATATAATATGATTACATTAAAAAGGAAAATTTACAAAATAGTAACATCCACTAAAAATATTTTAAATAACATAAAATATAATTTTGAATTAATAAAATACTTTCATTATATCTATATTTTCTTATACAATATATATATATATATATATATATATATATATTTGTATATAGTATGATTTTATAACAAACAATTCACACATATAATTTTGATATTTGAAAAATAAATTTTATTTCTTTTAAACATAATTATAAGTAACATAAACAGGTATATGTTATGATTGACTAACATAGTTTTTAATTAAAATTATTGAATATCTTATTTATTTTCACATATTTAGTTGACTATAATATCTTTCAACTAAATAAAAAAATATCTATAAATTAAATTTTACTTATATAATATGATTTCTCAAAGACAACCACAATTATTTACTCCTTATGTTTAAGAGAGATTAAAATTTTAATTTGTTTAACATAAACATCTTTTGATCAAATAATTACAAAATATATTCAAATATCATACCACTATATTTTTTTTTTTTTTTTGTCACAAATCATACCACTATATACTTTAACATGATAGATATGTTATATTCTATCATTATTAAAATTATATGTTTATTAATATTAAATTTGTTTTTAAATTTTATGTTTTTATGTTTGTGAAACTTAATATAACCATAATAAAAATACCAAAGAAAATCTGAATTCTCATTTTTAAGATTATTTAAAATAATTTCAGTTTACCTTTCAATAAATCTAAGACATAAAATTATTTAGAATTTATAAATATTTTATTTATTCTAAATATTGATGTGTTCATGAATATCCAAAAATATATCAGTTACTTATGTATGTAACTTTCTAGTGATCATTGCTTTATTTTCTAATATTTTTGTAAAAAAAAACATATAATTTGATAATTATTATGAAAATACATGCACAGTTAAGTGATAAATAATATTAATTTAATTTTACTTATTTACAATAAAATAATTATACTTTCGTTAGAATTTAACTCAATATACACACAATATGCGTGGCTCGACTAATCCAACTTATATCTAAAATCATTGATTTAACTATAATAAGAATACATATAATTTTCTAATAATAATAATTTATTTTATAATTACAAATACTTTAGTTAAAATTTAACTCAATAGACACACAATATGAGTGGCTCGACTATTCCAACTTATATCTAAAATCATTGATTTAACTATAATAAGAATATATAATTTTCTAATAAGAATTTATTTTATAAATATAAATTATAGGATGACGCAAAACATATTAACAAATGAAAATAACGTATTAACCAACTGTTACAAATTATTTATTTTGTGAAATTTATATATATATATATATATATATATATATATGCATGAGACTTCAAAGATTTTCTTTATATCAACTGATGTAATTTGAAATCAAACACCTTAGTTTATTTTTTATTTCATTATAAGCTAATATATCTTAAGTTATAAATATTTTTTTCTAAAATATATTTACATATCTAAGACAACAAACAACCTAAAAGCAAATAATAAAACTAATAAAAATTTTAGTATATTTAGAATAAAATTATTATAGTTGAATTCAGAGAAATAGATGTAATCTAATATACCCAAATAATAATAGCTAGATCGATTATAAAATTAATGAAATCGACTAGATATAACATTTCTAAAATAATATGTCTAATTAAAATAATATAATATTATTAATATAAATCATGTATGCAAATTATAAACTAATTTAAAATTAAAAGTAAATAGTAATCAATTATTATAGTATATTTACTTAATAAATATTTATATCCGTGCATGAGCACGGGAAAATCACCTAGTTTATATTGTAAATATGATTATACTTATGTTTAAAGTAAACCTCCATCCGTATAATGTGAGTTCATGGAGTCGACCACAACAACATATATTAAACATGAAATGAGTCCATTAATATTGGACATCCACTATATATTAGCATTTTATTCAATAGGAGCTCTTAGACAATATAATATCATAGCCTACGTTACGACTTATACGTCGACGAGAGATTGAACTTGAAAAAAAAAACATGTCGACCGTAAAACTTGAAACGTACGTACATCACATGTTTAGACAACCCACTAGCATTCACATTTATGATTGAAGAAACCTTATGATTGAAAAAACTCTACCTCTGTATATATAATATATTCCTGATTCCTTACAGTGTTTTCAAGGAACCTTATGATTGATTTTTTTTTTTTAAACACACATTCAGAAGATTCCATTAACAAAAACCAATGGTCAAAGACAAAGCTAAAGAATCATCTAAAGCTAAACCAAATTATGCTCTTACATTTGACACCGAAATAGAACCAACAGAATCGAATGCAAAAAGAGATCTCACTATCAATATAAATCGCAAGAATACAAATCAAACCAATATATCTATTAAGATCAATTTTTCTACGACTGTTCATGGATATCTTACTGATACAACCATAGACATCATGCAGTATATGCTCACAGCTCACCTAAACATAAGCATTAACTCTTCCACAAACATTGCAGAAACGACATCAACATATGTCTACACTACTATTTCACCACTCACTAATTATGAGGGACAAGTGTACACATCATACTATATCTAACAGATTTCAATCCCCAAGCAATTCATAGAATTAACGTTGAATAGCTTCAACAAAACTGCATGCTGAAAGAAGCGCAACCTCACCAGTGGAGGAAGATGAACTTTGCACTATATGCTTTGAGCAGATTGTAAAAGGCTAGGTTATAAATGCATTGCAAAATGAAACTATATCTGTCATCACCAATGCATGATTGATTGGATCCAAATGAACATAAGATGCTTTACATGTCCAAACACAATATTTTAGTAGAAATGTTTCCAAGTCTTAACAATAATTTGTACTTAGTTTATCCATTTAAAATACTACATTCATCGTCTTTATTTCTTTTTCTTTTGTTTCTTATTTCTCCGTTCCTCTTTTTTATTTCTCCATTCTTTTTTTTATTAATAAAAAATAGACCGATTAATTACATATATATAAAAATATATAATCAAAGAAGTATCACACAAGAAACAGACAAATGCCAACAATTTCCATTGTTAATAATATCAATTACTAACATTCAACAAAACAACTACACTTTGAAAAATATTTGCCCGTGTTAAGACAAATAGGTTGAAATTGAGATATAGTGAAATAAGGAAATTGACAAAAAAATTACATCTTTTATAAAATACGATCCATTAAATCCCGCCCGTAGGGCGAGCCTATCCTAGTACTTTATATAGTATTAAAGTTTATATGTAAACATAATTTTTATTTATTTGATAATAATAATAATAATATATGTAAAAATATTAGTATTGTTTATAGAAATTTTATTAATACATATATCATGTTGTCTTACTATATGCCCTAACCTAAGCGATGGTTTGGATGGCTTATCATTTGGACCGACCCTGATCAAATTGGGATTACTGCTAGGGGAAATAAGGTCTTGACCCTTCTGACTGAAGAGCTTAATCTGATTATTGGTCACGAATTTGATTGACGTCATCGTTGGTTAGTTGATGACGGAGGCTAGATGAAGGCGAGGGTACTTAAGGACCAAGATTCAGACAAACCACCAGGTACAAGTTCAACTTCTGATGGATCAAATTCATCATCTCCTTAATACATGTCTACTATAAAGTTCATGAAAAGATGATGCTACTAATATAGTACTAATGAATTTGATGGAAAGATGACACTTTCAGTTAAGGTTGTTAAGTATCTGAACTTGTGAATATTGGAAGGATCTAATTATGCTAAGATCATTATAGGTTATATTATACTTTTATTTTCCAACCTATGTCTGGTCTCTGATGGGTTTGATGAAAGATAATTTGGTGTGAAACTGTAGCAGGAACTTTTGTTACCATCTAGTTTAGTCATCCAGGTCATTTGTTAGACCAATAAAACCCTGCAAGAGCTAATCTCTCCAAGTCTATAGTTTAATAGATTTATTGATGAGCAACTGCATCAACAGCGGAATCTACAAAGTCTGAACAAGTCCACATTAAAACGAAGAGTCAAACATGTTTTCTTCATACGATGCAAGAAACAAGGAGATAGAAGATGTGTTGATCCTTTCTCGCTATCATCTCTACAAGAACGATTATATGGATCTTTGTTTCATCTGGATGTGTATTAAATCTCTGTGCACCAGTAAAGCCAGCATTCGTTGGACCGTACATAGTCGTAGGCGCTATCAAGATTGACATCTAAAGGAAGATTTAGGAAATCGAGCGTCGTTGGCGCTGTCATCATAGGCGGTATTCCTATTTTAATTTAGGAAAATTTACTTTTTCTATATAAATATGAATTGCTATAAGAAAAAAAAACAGATTTTGAGAGTACTATAAATATTGGTTTAAAAGACTGTAAAATTATTCATTCACATAATAATTTACAAATCGTAAACAGATATTTGTCTCAATTCGTTTTTGATTTTTTTTTTTTTTTAAGTTGATTCGCGTTTGTTCATAGCAATCTTGTAGAAGTGAGACAAGATTACCTGATCCCATGGGCTTCATCAAGATTAGTTAATTTCAGAGACTCATACCTTGAACATCATTCTGCAGGATCATAGGCGTGATACTACCATAAGGGATTTATTTTATGAAAAATGGGAGTTTATAATTATATTATTTTGCTTTAAATAGAAATACTAAAAGAATGAGAACTAATAGTGGCAGAGAGAGAGAGATTGGACATGTGAGTGTGAGTGGCTGGACAGAAGGTGTGTGACATTGTGACAGTCTTTTGAACCTCTTAGTTAGATTAATCGGACTTTTTTATATTCAGACAGTGTGGCAAACTCGTTTGTGATGTCCTAAAAATATTGATTGAATGGACAGAGAGAGATAGAGAGAGACATAGAACATATGCTAATTCCACATGGGGCTTATCTTTACACATTCCTTTGTCAATCTTGTCGTAATCAACCAACAAGATTTCACAAACTGATTTTTATTAGTGCTTAAACAATACTTTACAAATGGAGAAGTCAGTGACCAAGAAAGAGTTACATTAAATCAAGAACAAACTTGGAACAAATCTCCAAGACCTTCCTTATAGAAGAATCCTTATTCTTTGGCTGATTTACAAGCAAATCTTATGCATCTATAAAGAAAATTATATATAGTTATATCATATATGAATCAATCACACATAAACCATGAATCTTGTCGAATATTTGTTAAATATTAATCAAGTGTAGATAGACGCTGCATCTCTGTAGGTTCGTCTTGGGATAGAAGCATGAACATTACCAGTGATCATGCTGCTCTCGTTGTTGTTGTTATTGGTGTGACTGGTGAGGTTACTTCTTAAGTTGTCATGATTCTGCTGATACTGTTGTTTGTTTTGATGAAAAGAGCGTTGTTGCTTGGCGTTGAAGGAACTAAACTTACCTTGTTTCAGATGACGAGGTCTTCTTCTGGACTGAGAACATTTAGGGATGAACACACCAGTTCCTTTGCACTGCTGCTCCTGATGATACATATATGGAGCCGTTTGGTAGCAGCCTCCTCTGAACATACCCTGTTTCCACAAGTATTCAAGAAACAAGAAGTTAGGGAGAGGTATGTTTTGAGAAAGATTAAGAGTGTGGAAAGAAAAACAAACCTGGAATGAGAGAGAGGGGGAGGAAGAAGGGAGAGAAACAGGGTTGAACTGTTCATCTTCATCCATGATGAGAAGAGAGATCTGTTTGCTTATGTCTGCAAAGAAGACATCATCATCAAGATCTAACTCCATACTTTGCTGTTCTGTAGAAATAAGTCTTGTGTTTTTTTTTTCTTTGCTTGAAGGTGGAGTTTGAGAGAATCTTGAAAGAGTCAAATAAATAGGCTTATGAAAAATTGGCCCTTAGAGAGAGGAAGAGAGAGGAGAGCATGTGGGTGGGAGAGTGAAGCCAGAGAGACTAAAAGAGATTTTGAACAATGTATCTTGGCTAAGTCCCCACAATACACAACATGAATGACAGGAGGTTGTGCATTGATGTTATCCAGTTGTTAAATGTTTGAAAGATAGAAATCAAAGTTGACAAACAACTCATATCCACTCTGTCTTTATTACATTTACATATATCTCATATTGGCCAAAAAATCTATGTATATTTGATAGAGACCTAGGTAAATCTTTCTTGTGGCTATAAGATCCTAAAACAGCAACATCTGAAGACAGTTTGTGGTGGACAGTTGAGGAAATGGACAATACACAATTTGGATCTTGCAGAGAGAGAGAGAGAGAGAATCCAACTCATTGATATGATATGGTTTGAGGATAGTGTTAGAGTGATGTAGGTCACAAACTGCTCCTACTTGATGATAGACTAGTTCACATAAACTATTTCTTAAGCAAAACTTGTTGGTCTATATGTACACAGTACACAATAATCTACTCATGTCATAGTTCAATATCACTTGTTTTTTCCTTTTTAAAATATATCTTTAAACCAATCTCAAACACAAGATCAACTTGTTTCAGGCTCTATGGTTTCTTGTCACAGATTCATAAAAGGTGAAAACCCATCTGTTAGGAGTAAAACATTTTTATTTTCATCACGCAGTAAGAATTTGCTGTCACAGCTGTTAACGACAGAACCAATAATAAGAACGGGACAAGTCAGAGTGCCCAATTATCTTAATGGATCTAGCTGCGATCAAAGGGTTGTTTCTTCTCTCAAAGTTCATGCTCCAATGGCTGTATCCATGTCTGTAACACCATCGGCTCCTTTGAAAACAACCCTTAGCTTCGTTAAGCTTGACTGTTTCTCTTCGTTCTTGAGGGCTGTGCCAAAGACATGGACAGTGTCCTTCTGGACTCTTCCCATGAGGTCATAGAGCGGCTTGCTTAAGTTTGGTCTGTGCATTTCTTCCAGAACCGGAGGCGCCTGCATGTAGAGGCTGTCTTTGCCGTGTTTGACACTTGCTTTCGATAATAGAAGCTTCGGATGTTCTTCAAGCATGTCAATGAACTAAGAGAAAACAAAACATGACAAAATGGCACAGAACTGAGATGCAGAATTCTAAAATGGACAAACAGAGAATGAGACAAGGGGGCTAGAGGAAGGACCTTTTGCAACGTAATTGATGTGTCCAGCTCTATCAGAATGCCCGGACCACATACAAGACAGTCCTGGTCTCTCACGAACTCGGTCACTTTAGTGTGGAGACCCTCTCCACCGTTATACCTTGTGAAAATGAAAACCAGCCAAACATTGAATTCTTTGCAAATTCTTGAATTTTACTAGAAAAACTATAGTTCAAACACAAGCAAGCAAGGAAGAAAGAAATAAGTAAACCATACGTCAGATAGTTTGCAAGTGTTTTGCTACATCCAGATACAATCTTCAAAGTTTCAAGCGCACAAGCTGCTGAAATAATAGCGTTGGTGGATGCAATCGCCGGGATAATGTTTTTAACTACACCCTATATGCAAACACAAGGTTATCTCTCATAGTTCCTATTGCATGCTTAGCAAATAAGGGGAAAATTTTTAGGTGGGAAGACAAAAGGTAAGTGAGAATAGTTGCATACTTGTGTGAGAGAGTATGTGACACCTGGAATTCCAAAAAGCTCGGCTCTTTTGATAGCCTGCAAAGATAATCCACAATATGGAGTAAACCAAAATTCATAACTCATAATATAAGAAAGTAAAAGGATAACGTACCTCATCATAGACCCACTTCATATGTTCTGGCACATCAGGATCAAAGGATTTTCCACCATGAACCTTCAGAAAGAATAGACTACATCATGACTAAAACAAGTACATATTCACTTTGAAAGAAGAGTTTCTTTCAAAGAGAGTTCATTCACATACCTCAGGCCACTTAATGAGATGAGCATACTCAATGCAATGAGCTGCGTTCCTAGGTGTTTCCGCAAGAGTGCATAAAGGAAACTTCACTTGAGGTGGGAAAAGCCAAATCGTGCACTCAAAACAGGGTGTAACTCCAGGGACAATAACTCTAGCATGACCCTTGAAACCTTCGGTTCCTCCATCTACCATCGGTTTGATTGTTTCTCTCCTCGGGGTATCATCTTCATCATACTCTAAATTCCACAAATACATGATCAGAGAGCAGAAAAAAAGCTAGAGAACTTAAAAAATCCGAGAGGTAAATGGATTTTTTTTAATACCAAGAAACCCACAAGCTACACCATTGATGTATCTCCTAGCTTCAATAGAATCAAGACCAAGAGCAATGATATTAAAATCGTTATAAAACTCAAGCTCTTTGTCTTCTATACGTGAAAAATGCGGCACAATCTCCACTCCACTCACTCTCTCCATCACACGCTTCGCTGCCACCTCTGCCTTAGGCTTTCCTACATCTTCAAGTCTAAAAACATAACACAAACCAAATCAATCAAATTCCTACAAACCTTGCTGAAAACACAACACATGGGAACATGACATAATAAATTCATAAGTATACAAGTTCCCATCCCTGTCCAGCTTAGAATAATTCCGTAAAACTAATGTTCAAGAAAATTTAAGGCAGTGGTTACGCGCTTTATATACAAGATTATTGTCTAGGTGGGCGCCTAAACCGATTTTTTGAACGCCAAAACTGACTTTTTTAATTTAAAAAAAAAAAACCGTTTCTGCCTAGACCAATTTTTAGAACACTTATGAGAGAAAGACAATAGAATTTTGCCTGAAGAGGAACTGGCGATTAAGATTGGTGACCTCGATACGATCCATATCAATCACATCAAGATTACGAAACCCTGAAAGAGCCAAATCCTTGAGAAGCTCACAACCTAATCCACCAGCACCAACCACTAAGATTCTGACATAGTCCCTCATGTCATCCCTCAGCTGTAATAAGCAAAATTCGAAACTCTCAGAAAACTAAAAAAAGATACGAAATTTACAGAAACCCTAAAAGAGAAGCAATCATGAGATGAGTAATAAAAGGCGTTTACTTCGGTTCCGGGATAAAAGTCAGGGCCGACGAGATTCCCAGCTCTGAGAAGAAGCTTGTCGAGATCTCTCGTCTTACTTTGGGGAGCTTCGAGATCGGCCATTGAAACACAAAGACGAGGAAGAGGCAGAGAGAGAGAGTGGCGATTCACCGAAACTGATGACGGAGGAGGGGAGCTCGAACAATCCGAGGAGTCAGACCAAAGCTAACACAAGTCTTTCGGACACGATCTTTATACGTGTTGGGTCAACAATGGGCTGGGCCCAAAACTAATTTATCTTTTCATAAAATTTATTATTAATAGTTTAAAAATTTATAAATACTTAATTAAACAAAAATTTGATGTAAACTTTGGAGGATTTTGACGGTTTTTTGGAGGATTATTCTACAAAGGATACAAAGGATAGTAGTCATCAATAAATTATTGCAAGTGGCATTAACTCATATAAATACCATACACAATTTCTAATACCGTAATTTAGAGCTTTATTGTTAATAAATAGTGCACACTGACGAAATTCAAATAAAAATATAAATCTTTGAATATATATTATATTAGAATAGTGAAGTATTATGTTTTCGGAGTTTACACGTGTAATACATAGTTCATTTCTATCACAATTAGATAGATTTTACCTATGATTAATAATTTATTTTTATGATAATCTAATATATAAAATAAAACATTTTGAATCATAATCTTAATGTAAATATTCTTTATTCTTTTCAAATTTGCTGATCATATATAGTAAAAATGATAATTTGTCAGTTTTATTCATTTTTATTCTATGATTTATATCTATACTATATAAAAGTTGAAGCTATAAGCCATTGAGAGCGTCCACGTAGGATTTAAGTCCTCCAATCGTAAAATGACACATCATTATTTTAGTTTATTATTTTTAGAAAATGTCATTGTTTCCAAATTATATTAAAAACGAAATTAATATTCCATATATAATTTAACTAACAAAATAAATATTAACATTTTACAAATTACATAAAAATGTTAACTTTTA